TAAACCGATTTGGCCAGTCTTAGTCTTGAAAAATTCGTGCTAATCAGTAGGTTGTCGAAAAGGTGAGATATTTTCAAAACCGCATAGAAACTTTACTATTACTATTACTATTTTTTATTTAATTTAAATAAAACGATGGACGGTGGCTAATACGTGAAATGTCAAACGTTTTTGACAGATGATGTTTAATTACGTTTAATAGGATGTTTTACGTGAATATTATTCAATTATGATTGAATTGTAGTAAGTAGTTTTGTTCGTAGTTATTTATATACAAAAAAGTTAGTAAACGTAAATTGACGGCTTAAAATATATTTTAAAAATATAAAGCGTTGTAATACAGTTATGAAATTATAGTATGTTATTTCTAAATATGTGTACTGAATTATAAAAATATAAAACCAAATATGTTTCTAACAGAAGAAACTAAAAAATTGCAATGCACAATTGCATACTCTATTTTTATTAGTTGCGAATCGACGGTTGGATATGATATGAGAAGTGCTTTTGAAAAATGTTTTAAAAATATACAGTATTACACTAGAGCCACAAAATTTTAGTATGTTATTACCTAATATATATACTCAATTATAAAGATATAAAATCACGTATGTTTCTAACAAAAAAAAGGTCTAAATTCGCAACTTTGTAAACAAATGCACTCTTGCATATCTAGTTTCCAATACTTGCAAGTCTACGGTTTGATGAATATTTTGAAAAATATTTAAAAATATAAAACGTCATACTAGAGTTACAAAATTTCAGTATGTTATATCTTAATATGTGTACTCAATTATAAAAATATAAAATCATACATGTTTCTAACGGAAGAAACTAAAAAATTGCAATTTTGTAAATGCCTACATACTTGCATACTCTATTTTTATTAGTTGCGAATCGACAGTTGGATATGATATGAGAAGTGCTTTTGAAAAATGTTTTAAAAATATACAGTATTACACTAGAGCCATAAAATTTGAGTATGTTATTACCTAATACATGTACTCAATTATAAAAATATAAAATCACATATGTTTCTAACAAAAAGAGCTATAAATGTGCAATTTTGTAAACAAATGCACTCTTGCATATCTAGTTTCCAATACTTGCAAGTCTACGGTTTGATGAATATTTTGAAAAATATTTAAAAATATAAAACGTCATACTAGAGTTACAAAATTTCAGTATGTTATATCTTAATATGTGTACTCAATTATAAAAATATAAAATCATACATGTTTCTTACAAAAACAGCTATAAATTTGCAATTCAGTAAAATCTTGTAACAGGGCCGCAAGTGTTACTATAAACTCAACAATATCAACTTTATTGAAATTTTAATATGAAAATGCACTTTTTGGCGTTGTAGCACTCTTTTTTAGCAAATCATATTTTTCTCAAACACAGTGCTCTGAAAGATCTCATTTGTATAATTATATAATCATGGTATTTATAAAACATTTTCTAAGTTATATTATTTTTTATTTATGTTTTTTAAATTCAAAACCTAACTTTGGTATCGATCAAAGAGACATTTTATCGAATAGCATTTTCTCATTTACAATTTCCTAGAAATTATCGAAAAATTTATAGTAATATATGAAGGTCCGGGGTTAGAAATGGATTGTTTAACAACAATATTTGAAAATAGAGGAAAAAAGATGTATAACCAGCTATAACCGTGATTCTTATGACTTTGCTATCGGGAGATAAACAGTAATCTTTGAAAATCCATAATAAAAGTATTTTCTTCCGTTGGTAGTTTTTTAGCATTAATTAAAAGTGTAATTATTTTGTAAAATACTTTTAAAATTATAATAAGGCTTTAAACCTTTTTGCCACCTGCGCGTTCCAAGTTACCCCGCCTATAGGGTAAAAAGTTCTAGATAAATTTTTGAAAGACATCAAAAAAGCACATTTCTACAATGATGAAGTATAGGGTCCGCCAAATAACTTAATTTTTTTTACAAACTACTGAATATTTTCTAAAATTTCTATTTCTATTTGAAAGTACAATCCGTTCAGTTAATAATGAAATTAATTCAGTTAATAATTTAATTCAAAAATGAAGAAAAAAAGCCTCGGCTGACCGTTGAAAAAAATGAAAATGAAAACGAATAATGTTAGGTGGATTACCCTATACAGGGCATTTTACTAAACGTAGTCAGAAAATTGTTCGTTTGATATGTGTTATTTGTTGTGATATAATTGTTATAGTTTTCACAATATAGTTTATATTTGCTCAAAGTCAAATTGGACCTTTGTGCCTCGCCCTGCTGTACATATATACTTTTTATTAAATTTACTTTAATTCAACGAATGTTACTTGAAACTTTTCAAAAAGCAGGTCAAAGAAGAAATACTTAATTCATTTTCTATCTCACCTTGCAGAAATTTGAAAATTTTGTATAAGCTCAGTAGTATTATTTACTATTATACACAAAATCCAGAATTCAAAAAGAATCTGAAAAACTTAAAACGTAATCAATAAGTCGAAATACCAAAAAAGACTTGGATTGGAGTATACCATGTTTTCTATAGAAAGTGTATAAATCTTCCAGTTTGATTGCATTGACAAAATATAGAAAAACTAATGCGGTTTATTGTTTTTATAATTCTTCATTGTATATAGCATTCAAACAACACATCCTTATACACAAGTATTAATATTTTTGATTCTCTACAAGTTGTTTAGAATACACCTTACTTAGCAAAACAACGTTTGCTGGGTCAGCAAGTGCTTTATAAAGGGTATGGGCGCATTGCCATACAGAATCGGCTCCACCCTGGTATTTGAATAATTTATACGCCATTTTATAGGTCTATTTGATAAAAACCGATATACCAATTTTCAACTTTGTACCTCATCTTATGGCCGAGATATCATTGAAAATATGCCAAAGTGGCCCCTTCTTTCAAACTTACTTTTTGGAGTAACCATACAAGATATCAAAAAAATTTTTACGTGATTCTACTCACATTAACTCAGACCACATTATGTAGAACAATCGATTCAAAAAAATCGTTTACTATTAGCTGAAAAAGACAAAATAATTTTTCAATTGATTATTTCGGGTAGTGCATTTATTTGGACCACTTTCTAATTAGCGTTATTCGAAAGCCTATTGTTTTTTCTTAGAGTACTGCAAATATTGTTCAAATCAATTTAGTGGAACACATTGGAAAATTGAGAAAAACAGAGCCAGTACACCCGCGTGTAACGCTAATAGTACCCTGCAATTGCATAGAGTTCGTTCGGACGCAAAGCAGAGCGCGATATGCGCCGAAACGATTCTTAAGAAATTCTGATTGCAAAAATATTTATTTTATAGTTATATATGTATAAATTCACGGAGTTTGAGATTTTTAGACATTATTAGATTTACTATATTAATTAAATCACTAAAACTAGTGGTGTATCGTGCCTTAAGGTTTACGTAACTTATATTACGTATTTCCTTTACCTTTGTTGCCTTGAACCCCATTCAGCCTTCTGTTTCTCCTCTTGTGATTCTGCACAGATGGAAATCCATACTGGGGCACCTCATCATCATCATCGTAATCATCAGATTCATCTATCCTATGATCACTATGATGCAAACCATTGACAGGAACACGACTATTTATAGACGTCGTTTCTGCCTCAGTTTCACTATGGATATTGTAGGTTGGTAAATACTGATTGGGATGTTGCAGGTACCTTGATGAACCTGGTGGAAAATAGACATGTAGATTCCAAAATACTATTTTTTTGTAAGTTTTAAAATAAAACTTTTTTAGGCGCGACTAGGGTGTAAATCCGTACAAATGCAACGGAAATTGTTACGGCAAGGTCAAGTGAAAGTCATTCGCTCTCGATGATATCATTTCTATACGGGTCGATTGTGATTAGTCGTCGTGTATGTAAATAGAGATCTATTGTTGTATGCGTATCGGGATCAATGTTGTATGCGTACCGATATCAACAAGGAAATCGGCATAAATAGATAAACATTTTAAAGTTACATCTTAATACAAATCTTGGTTTAATAAAAAATGCCTCAATCAGAAGAATATTTTACTCTGTTTCTTGAAAATAATAAAATAATGTATACATTTATACTAAACGTAAGTTTATTGATCAGAAATTATTTCTATATTATTCGTAAATAACAAGGGACTCTACTGACGAACAAAATAAAAATAAAATTTAAAAAGACTCTACTGATGATTAAATTAAAATTAAAGGTTAAAGGGACTATACTAAAAATAAAAAAAAGGGACTCTACTGACGAGCTAAAAAAACTCTACTGACGAGCAAAACTAAAAATAAAATAAAAATAAACGCTACTGGTAATTAAATTAAAAATGAAAGAAAATGGGACTCCACTGACGACCAAACTAAAAATGAAAAAGGGAGGTAGACTCTATTGACGAGCAATCTAAAAATAACATTAAAAAGGAACTCTACTGACGAGCAAAACGAAAAATAAAAGACAAAAAAAAATACTCTACTGATAATTAAATTAAAAATGAAAGAAAATGGGACTCCACTGAGGACCAAACTAAAAATGAAAAAGGCGGGGAACTCTACTGACGAGCAATCTAAAAATAACATTAAAAAGGAACTCTACTGACGAGCAAAACTAAAAATAGAATCAAAAATGCACTTGTAGTTTCTATAAATTTTTGAAGTTATTAAAATGGAAAATATTTTTTAAGCAAGACAGAGATTACAGCTGTTCAAAGAATGAGTTTATATCGCCAGCGAAAATGTAAAAACAAAATACAAGCAGTCAATGAATGTATGTTAATTCTAATTACATAAAGTTCTTCAAACACAATTATTACATGATGAGTGAAGTTACGAAAACAATATTTGTTTAGGCGTTGTTTAACATAATCCACTGTATGAACGAATATTATAGAAATTATTAATCAGCATTCACTTCATTTCTCTAATGAAGGTTCATTTCTAAATGCTAATTACAATGTCAAATCGATCATGTCGAATTTGAAGTATGACTTTAACTAAGGGTTTTTTGTTTGTTTTCGAATGCAATTTTAGAGTATACAAAGTTGCTGTAGAGCATTTTGTTATTAGAAAAAGTTATAGATTATTTAATTTTGTACGAATTTGCCAAGTATACCATTTACTTTCAGCGAATAGTTTAAGAGTTATATTTTTTAAAATAAAATTACCACACAAGCGCCGCCCCTTTGCAAATTTGTTTGTATTCATGTCATTTATGAGTATTCTAAGTTGTTATAGGGCATTGTGTTGTTAGAAAATGTCGTAGGCTCTTTGATTTTGTATAAATTTCCCGAAGACACTTTTTGATTCTACCAAATAGTTTCGAAGTTATAAATAATTTAAACAAAATTAGCGATATTTCTTGTTCGCAGGTTTCAATTTATGAGCATACCGGGAAAAATTTATAGACTATTTAATACTGATGAATAAATTTGTAAAATATTATATTCAGATCCAACGCGTGATTCTAAAGTTATAAAAAAAAGTGAACAAATGTACAGAATTCATTGGAACTCATGACAAGCTTAGACTTGAAATGATTTCTTATTTTTAATAACGATTTTAAAGTATACCGTATATTGCTATAGGGCATTACAATGTTAGACAACTTTATAGATAATTTAATTTTCAAATATTATACATATTTTATAATTCTATTATAAATATATAATTTATGATTTATCATTATATAAATGTGTATAATAGTTGACACTAATAAGTGTGTGCATGACGAGTGTTGCCATATTACTAATATAATATAATAGTATTTAATTTTACTTAACTTAAATTTGCTACTTTGTATAGTAGCAAATGAGTTTTTGCTTCAATCACAATCACACTTTTTTTATCTTACCAGGGTTGTAAGCGTAGTCATCACTGCCACTGTCTAAGGAATTAAGGCCACCTCCGATAGACAAATCGTTGTCATAAATTCTCGACGAAGATCTTTGCTGGGGTTCACTACATCTTTCATCATATTCAGAATCACAAACGTATTCTGATTCCTCACCTTTGTCATCATCTTCCTCGTTTAAGGTCTGGATGTCACCACGATTGATATCCATATGGGCTTGACCTAAGTAGAAGAAAAATTAGTAACAATTAGGGTTTATACAAAAACCGACATTCCAGAAAACCGGTTTTCGAATTTTAATTTCACTAAAAAACCGGTTTTAACCGTTTAGAAAATAAATTTTTGCTCGAATATTCTGTAATTTATCCGCAAATTTAGTGTAATTTAGAACACTATTTGACTGAATTTATTTATTGTTCAATTTTATAGATAGTAAACAAAATTATTTTAATTTTAATTAGTCGAACTAAAAAATAATGGTTTATCTTGCTTAAATAACTATGGAAATGATTATTCGTTATTCATGCATTATTTTCACATATATTAGGTTGTCAAATATCTCCCTTCCGCTTTTTTGCTCTTGGTCTATAATACAAAAATCGGAAGGGAGATATTTGACAACCTATAAGAATGAAAATATTTTTATGAAAGTGAAAGAAAAGTTTTCGAATAAATAAAAATAATACATTTTTAAATAAAAAAATCATTAAATTAAAAAAAATAAAAAATATTAGAGATATGTTGATACATACTTGTTAACATCAATTTTAGTTTTAAAAACAATTAAGCTAAACTCGGGTATTGTCTGTTCCGTGCAATTTTAATTAATTAATTTTAAACATTCTAATTGCGACCAAATTATGCTTAATTGTTTTTAAAGTCTGATATAATAATTCTAAGTTTTTTGTTTTTTAATTTGTGACTTCTAGGGTTTAAAACTCTTTTTTTTTAAGTTTGAGTAGAGGAAGTTACTTCTTCAAAATTAGAATTAGAATAGAATTTCTGACAACAATTTAGGATATTCTGAGATATTTTCAAAAAAAACTCATGGAAAAAGCATGTTTCATATTAACAACAGTATATTTTTATAAATTATGAAATAACAGTAGTTATATCTTGTCCATCTCATGAACTTGTAAATATTTTTTTTAAACTCTCTTTAATATACAATTTCAAAAATATGCAGCAATATCTTATTTTTAATTTTAAAATTTATACGAAATAATAGTTGCATTAACTAATATTAATCAATTCAAAATATAAAATTCATGGTAGATTTTTTACAGAGATAACACTGTAACTAACCTTGATCAAGTATTTAGTCAGAAATAATTTGTTTAATTTACCTCTTGTAAAATTGCAATTATTAGGTTGTCAAATATCTCCCTTCCGCTTTTTTGCTCTTGGTTTATAATACAAAAAGGCGGAAGGGAGATATTTGACAACCTAATATAAATAAAGTGAAAATAAAGTCATTACGAAGTGTACTTTTAAAGAATTTTTATTTCGAACATAATAAGAAGAAATTTTATATTTTTAACTTCCCGTAGGGAAAGTTAGAGTAATGATTGATTTAAATTAAAATACTGGTATAAAAATCTATACTAATATATACAAAACCTTTCTGGGAACCAGAAAACAGACTGATAAGATATAAAATGCTATTGAACTGATATGATTTCAAGAATCAAAACGCTTTCATTTATCTTTTATATTTGGCTACATTTGTTTTCGAAAACCGACAAAGCCCAGTAACAATAGATTTTGTCTAATTATTTTCTTACCTTGGTCCCTCATAGAAGAATGTCGGTGTGATTCGTTGCTCTCATTGCTGTGAAAACTGGAAGAATCAGGCATTTCACCCCCTGGAACCTCTGTTATATCAGGAAGAGGGTTCTGACTACGTCTTGCCCAATCTGAACAATCCCAATGATAAGACGTTTGGGTACGAGTGTCGTCGTCTGAGCAATTGAGCAAGGCTAAAGGAATAAAAAAATTATAAAAAAACATTCGTATATATATATATATATATATATATATATATATATACTAGCTAACCCGGCAAACGTTGTTTTGCCATAAAAAATATGCCTACATTGATAAAAAATTAATAAAAGTGCCAAAAATCTAATATTTAATAGATTTGGACTCTGATTCTTTGACAAATAATTAAAAACTTGTTAAAATTTTCAAAATTATTTGACATTTCATACTTCAAAAATTAATTCACTCGCATCATAGTTTTTCTGTTTATTATACTTTTGTCATGTCATATATGTCAATAAAATTTTCTTTCAAATAGTATTTATTTGTTAATAAATTAATAATTATTTTAATTCATCAATAAATATTTAAGTCATCAATTTTTAAATTCATAAGTTTGGCTAAATCAACACAGAAATATTGTGGAAATAATTTGCATTTTATTTCAAATTAATTATAATTGTCAAAATATTTTCTTTTCGGTCAAAATTTAATATAATATGATATAATATTTAGTTTGTCTAGTTTGTTTTTGTCAGATTCCAATGATACCCTCAGATTGTACTATTCCATTTAAAAGGTTACAATTTCCTGTAAGATTAGCATTTGCGATGACAATCAAAATATATCTTAACTGATTTATTAATAATAATATTATATTTTAATTACACAAATTTCTTTAACTTCCGATAAATAATTCCATCATATTGTTTTGTTTATTTTAATTTTGTTTATGTCATTTTTTTTAATTAAAGAATAAATTAAAATTTAGTCTAAATCGACGCAGTACTTTATCTAAATATACAATTTTTTATATAAATATTTGATTTTTTACGTTTGCATTTAATTGAAAAATAGTGAATGTCAATTTCATATATCCAATAAGCACTAAATTTATAAATGTCAAAATATTTCCTTCTTGGTCCAAAATTAATATAATGTGATAATATTTATTTTACAATAATGTTTTGTATCTATAATTTGCTTGGCAATATTGCCTATAACATAACTTGGAATAATTAATTCATTTGTGAAATGTCAAAATTTTGTTTATGATTAATTTTAAATTAAATATGCCGCTTTTTTATTGTTATCTCTGATCTATAATGTTTTGATGAAGTTTTGGTTTCCGAAATAATTTGGTAAGCTAATCAATTAAATCTAAATCGTAAATCTATTTATATAATTATTTTCATAAATATTGACAAATGACATTTAATTTTTTTGCATGTCAACATTTATTTAAATTTTTAAGCATTGATTTTTAATTTGATTTAAAACTATAAACAGTGATTTTTAATATAGCATTTCATCAAATTTGGATTTAAATGTTGGATATTGCTATATATGTACATGTTTTTGAATTTTATTTTTTGAAATGTCAATTTTTTTTTTCAAAAATTATATATCGAAATTTCCTTAAATTTTGATATGTCATTTTAGTGTTTTGTTTTTTTTTGGTCATTTTCTGTCAAAATTTTTAGAAATTTATAAAAATTATATATTTATATTTTAAATTTACTTTTTAAAATTTCCTATAACCTAAGTTGGATATATATGTACACGATGAGACAATAAAATTTAAAATCGGTTCAGTAGTTTGGGCGTCCATCGCGAACCAACATCGTGACACGAGATTTATATATATATATATAGATATAATATAATTAAGTTTTACCACGATTTGATTGTTGACTCAAACGTCCAGCAAGAATTCCTGTATTCCTATTTGCTGATGAATTTTTCAACGTGGTATCTGCTGTTATTATTGGACGTTTTAAATCTATAAAAAAAACATATATAAATAAATCAACACATCAAGATCTTTAGTATACATGTGTGTTTTTATTTTACCATTATTAATTTTGCTATCAGAGAAAGTCTGCATGTGCATCTGCTCCGTCCAAGATGGTTTATGCAAACTTTCAACATCGGCTGGTGTACTTCCAGCAGCCAAATTTTGAGGCTGATTTAAATTTCGAACGTAGTCTAAAGGCACTGAGCTATTATTATCACCTAGAAGATCACCATTAAATTAATATCAAAAGTAGTCGTGTATGGCATAGTGCCTTAAGGCAAATTGCTGGCACTTTCCGTAATGAGATGAAATATTCGTGGAATATTTAACCTTTTTCAAATACATTATTACAAATACTGTAACTTTCATTATTTTTGCTATCTTGTTTGTTATATTTGAGCAAATCAAATGTAAATCATAAATCAATTATTACAATCGTCATTTCATTTCGAATTCAATTTCTACCATAGCTCTTGAAAGTAATATTAGGTTGTCAAATATCTCCCTTCCGCTTTTTTGCTCTAGGTTTATAATACAAAAAGGCGGAAGGGAGATATTTGACAACCTTATAAAATTAATGAAGGAGGTAAAAGTCAAAATCTTATATTATTTATTCGTGGAAAGGCTATATCTGGGGCTCCTAATATTAATGGGATTAATCAATTTCCAAAACCTCCAATTAAAATTGGCATAACTATGAAAAAAATTATAATAAATGCATGAGCTGTTACAATTACATTAAAAATTTGATCGTCTCCAATTAATGACCCTGGTTGACCTAATTCTGTTCGAATTAATAATCTTAAAATAAAGTATAATGTTCCAATATTTTTATGATTAGTAGAAAATAATCATTTTACGATAAGATGGCTGAATTTAGGTAATAAATTGTAAATTTATTTATGAGTAAAAACTCTCTTATCAGAATCTTATAGTCAAAAATGATATTAAATTGCAAATTTAAAGGAGTATTAATACTAAGGTTTAAAGAAATTCTTTATTTATAACTTTGAAGGTTATTAGTTTTTTTAACTTAAAACCTTTAAATTATAAAAAGAAATAAAAATGGAAAAATTAATCTTAAAAAATTTATAAATAAAATTTATGATATTTAAAACTTATTTATGATTAAAATAGAAAAAGCAAATCGTAAATAAATATATAATATTAATAAAGTACATAAAATTATAATGATAGAATAAAAAATTATATTTATATTAATTATAGATTCAATAATAATTCATTTAGGAAAAAATCCTAAAAATGGAGGTAAACCTCCTATTGATAAAAATATTATTATTAAGGTAATTTTTGTAATATAATTTATTGAATTAGATAATATTTGATTTATATAAAATAATTTTAAAAAATTAAAATTTATTGTAATAATTAAAGAAATAATAGAGTAAATAAAAAAATAAAATCAAAAATTTATTTCATTATTTATTAAGGCAATAATTATTCAACCAATATGTGTAAGTAATAATTTTTTGCAAAGAGGAATTATTTAATCCACCTGAAGCCTTCAAAAAAAATAGTTGCCTAATTTACACAAAATTGAAAAAGTGCCCCGGTATAGTCACAGTCTAAACGCATTTGCAAATAATTCTGTGCGACATTTTCACTTTTACTGTGCTTAGCTTGATGTCATTTTCACATTTTTCAATAGTTTTCTCACAAAATTGGAAAAGTGCTCCAGACATAAACAGTCTAAACGCACTTGGGTAAACATTTGTACCAGAGTGGCGCTTAGACTGTGCTTAGCCTGAGTGATTTTTTGAACTTTTAATCCAAAATTACAAATATATTTTATGGAAAATAAAAAAAAGATGTAATATTTTTCATCCTCAAAAGCAATTGTTTTGTCAATACAAGCAGAAAGCTTTTTAGATCATTCAAATCGGACGCTTAGTTCACACTCACAAACTGCAATTTTTTGCACATTTAGCTCTGTATCTTCAAAATGGCGGGACCTGTCTTTGCCAAAAACTAATCACCTATTCTCCCAATCATTACAAATTGAATGTTTTATAGATCAATCAAATCCGATACTCCGTTCTCTCAAAAACTCGATTATATGTCAATTTCTATGTCAGTTTACCTGCTAAATCGTCTCCAGCTGATCCATAGCTCCTTAAAGTATCCAAATTATTTAAAATAACATTATATGTAGGCAGCTGGATATCAGGAGGCGAAATTATTCCAGGGGCGTAGGACACAGGTCTAACATTATCCGAGTTTCTTCTTATGGCTTCTAAATTGCTAATTTTGGATCCCCTTTTGAATTCAGCATGATGATTGTGATTTTGCGTTGTGATTTCTTTATGATTCATAGACGATTCGTTGATTATATTATTTGTGAGTTCTCGCGATCGTTTGTACCGACAACGTCGGTAACAAGCATAAATTATTACTACTAAAATGATAAAAGATCCTACGCTCACTATTCCTATGAGCTCTTCCCAGGTTATACTGTAGATGTTTGAAGTAATTGCTGTCGGGTGCAAGGCATTACCACAGTTTTGACCTACAAAATCAACTTCATTAAAACATTATTCAACACAATCTTTATAAATCATTATTATCAAACTTTGCTAAGGTGTTTGAAAAAATTATTTATAGAGAACTAATTCCTTCTGTGAGAAATTTAATTTCTACTAATCAACATGGATTCATGCCTGCCCGTTCTACGATAACAAATTTAATATGTATTAAACAATATATAGCTGAGAATCTTGATACTAATGGACAAGTTGATGTTATTTATACTGATTTCAGTAAAGCTTTTGACAAATTGATCATAACATTCTTCTTACTAAATTATCTAAGATTGGTCTTAATTCTTCACTTATTTATTTTTTTAAGAGTTATGTTCATAAGCGCAAACAGTTTGTTTATCTTATTGGATTCTTGAGCAACATTGAAAATATCAGTTCAGGTGTTCCTCAAGGATCCATTCTTGGTCCACTACTATTTATTATTTTTATTAATGACATTTCTGATATTATTAGCTGTCCACATTTATTCTTTGCAGATGATCTCAAACTATATCTCAAAATAAATTCTATTGATGACTGCTTATTATTACAGTCTCAACTTGACTCTTTCCACTCTTGGTGTATCTATAACAAATTACATTTGAATATATCAAAGTGCAAGATTCTTAGTTTTTCACATAAGCGCGTTCCAATACTTTTTGATTATAAAATTTCTAACACCAGCATTGATAGATGTAATAAAATTTCAGATTTAGGCGTTCTATTTGATTCTGGTTTGTTTTTCACGGATCATATAACTGATATTTGTAATAGAGCACACAAATATTTAGGTTTGATACTGAGAAATTGTAAACAATTTAAATCTACCAATGCGCTTCTTTGCGTGTACTATTCTATTGTACGTTCAAAATTAGAATATGGTTCGATTATTTGGTATCCTCATCAAACCAACAACTCTGATGCGATAGAGAAGGTTCAGCGAAAATTTCTGAAATACCTTTATTATAAAACATATAAAATTTACCCTGAACGTGGTTTTGACCACAACACTTTACTAAAAGAATTTGGTATTCTTTTCCTTGCCGCACGTCGATTTATCTGTACAATTATGTTCTTATTCAAACTTTGCAATAATTCTATAGACTGTTCTCTTATTCTCAATCAACTATCCTTTAATGTTCCAAGGCTATCTACGCGTTCACAATTATTTTTCAATTATCCTACTCCTAAATCTAATTCTCTCTTAAATTCGCCTATTTTACTTATGTCCTTTTAACTGAATTAATAATGAAATAGATATTCACAACACTTCAACTAATCAAATAATCTCCATCTGCACAAGTTAACCTTTTTATTTTCTTTTCAAATATCTCATTATTTTATCTTATTCTGTTTATAAATAATATTGTTACATTCTGCATTATATGTAATTTTATGTAAGCATTTTATGTTAATAACTATATATTGTATAAATTTTGTATATATTTTAATTGTTATTCATTATGTAAAATAACAGTATTTTTGAGTCCTCTTGGAGTAATCTGTGGGCTATATATTCAAATAAATAAATAAATAAATAAATCTTATTATACTTTACCTGTGGTTCCTGGTGCACACACACACTTGTATCCACCGACTTCGTTCCTGCACTCTGCTCCATTCATACAAGGCGGTCCTGTAGGAGCACCAGCTGATGTAGAAGCTGCTGCACCAGAACTAGAACATTCGTCGACGTCTAAATCACATCTTGGACCTGCATAACCTGGTGCACATTTGCATAATGGTCCTGTATCATCTTCTTCACAAGCAATCGAACCCAAAGTTGAACAAGCATTTGGGACACAGAAGCGACCTAGCTGGCAACGTTTACCTAAAAAGGTAATAGAAATATAAGTAATAACTGATGGATGAAATTTGAGAATGATTTTTGCTTACCGTTTAAAGGTGGTGGGCATGTGCAAATATAGTCACCATCCAGGGAATTCACAGAACAAATACCACCGTGCAGGCATGGTGATGATGCACAGGGATCACTATCAATTTCGCACATCAAACCTAAAACCATATATAATATTAGTCACATTTTTCTCGTCGCTTTACCCCAAATTTTTATATCAGAGTGTATATAGCTGTTGGCATGCAATCGTAGCAAATGCTATCTAGTTTCTCCCTATCTAACTGAAAGGGGTGCTTTACCCTGATATTTGTGAGTAATTTGACAAAAATTAAAAGTCACGAATTTTCTATTTATTTTCAAAGAAAAATGAAAGGTCGTTTTATTCCAAACTTTTATATAGGAGTGTATATATCTGTTGGCATGGAATCGTAGTAAATTTTATCTAGTTGAAAACGGGTGCTTTCATCGTCGTTTTATTCAAAAATTTTATATCGAGGTATACATAGCTGTTGGCATAGAATCGTAAATCTAGTTTCTCCCTATCTATCTAAAAAAGGGTGCTTTTCCCTGATATTTGTGAGTTATTTGACAAAAACCAAAAGAAATGCACACATTTTCTAATAAATGCTAAAGAAAATGAAAGGTCGAATTCAACGTCGTTCTACTCCAAATTTTATATGGGAGTGTATATAGTAGGGTTTATACAAAAACCGACATTTCAGAAAACCGGTTTTCAAATTTTAATTTTGTCAGAAAACCGGTTTTAACCGGTTTTCAAATTTTATATAGAAAATAAATTTTTGCGTTAATAACAAAAATTTATCCACAAATTTAGTGCGATTTTAAGCAGTATTTGATTGAAATTATTTATTGTTAAATTTTATGGATAGTAAACAAAATTATTTTAATTTTAATTAGTAGATAAAAAAATAATAGTTTATATGGATTAAATAATTTTGAAAATAGTTATTCGTTATTCATGCATTATTTTAACATATATAAATGTAAATATTTCTATGATAGTGAAAGAAAAGTTTTCGAATAAATGAAACATTTATTAAATTAAAAAAAATATTAGATACATTCTTGATAATATCAATTTTAGTTTTAAAAACAATTAAGCTAAGCCGCAAGTATTTTCTATTTCGAGTAGTTTCAATTAATTAATTTTAAAAATCTTAATTATTTTTTTGTTTGATAAAATGTGATTTCAAAAATATTTAAATATCTTCGATTTCCTTTACTAGTCCATTCATCTATAGTTATAGAAAATTTTTGTCCTTTATTTTTCATACAGTTTATTTCATTTATAGTTTCATGTTCTATAGATTCGTAAAAGTTGTAAATGAGTTCCATTACCCTAGAATTATTCTGTGGTAAGCAATAATTTCGTTTTTGTAATGACTCTCTTATAAACGAGCTATTTGTTATGCAATAAATTAATAGTCCATCTAATGCTTTGACACTATTTCTTCTAAACTAGTTTTTTTCACAAAATTAATCCGACATCCGACAATTTTTTTTCGTTTTTTTTTTATCGTGTACTGTTTTCAAATGATTATGTAAATTGCTTGTGCTTGATCCTTTGCAAGAAAGCATATTATTGCAATAAATACAACGCGCTTTTTCTTTGTCTACTTTTTTTAAATAATTCCACTAGACTATAAACTCCAATTTTAGACTATAAAAATATAAATAGTTTAAATAATAATATATTTATTCAAAAATTTTATATCTCAATGTCCATTTATCAACCAAGTATCCATTATTCTGACCTGATAATCTAGCAGGACATCTGCAAGAATAGCCCTGGGAATCAACTTCGCTGTTTTCACAAGTACCACCATTTAGGCAAGGTTGTGAGGTACAAGCCCCCAATTGTGTTAAAGCAGTGGCAGCTGAATCACAACTAAATTCCACATTAGCAAATCTTGTCAACAAAGCTGGTGAGGCCGTTGAAGAACTTGCTCCACCCATGAGGAGAGGTATAGGGATGCCTGATAATCGGACATCGTCCAGACAACCGGTGAAACCGCGACTGATTTGTTCGAAACCTGGTGAGAAATTTTCAAAGAAACGAATTTTCAATTTTTCCATATTTCGATAGGTTATACCTTTAAAAATAACATACCAAAATTTTAAATCGATATCTTAAATAGTTTTTGAGTTACAGCCATCTAAAGAGTATATATATATATAGTATATAGTATAACGATCATTTAATCTTTAAACGCGTTTTTCTCGAAACAGCGTTTTCCGAATTTGCTGCAGCGATTACTCAAAAACAAATTATCCGATCACTATCAATTTGTTTTTACATGTTCTATATATAGTTCTCCGTACAATGACCTATCGATTTTTTGATCGGATCAAAAATCGAATTTTGGCAGGCCAAAAACGACCAAAATTTTGGGTAAAATCCGACTATCTTTTTCACCATATTGTCAATTTTTTATTTTTTATTTTTATCGTAGGTCATTGTACAGACAATATTATCTAGTTTAACAAGATTTTTTTTATTATGTTTTGTCAACAGAGGAGGACTCTTTTTTTTGGCGCCGCCGGAGATTGCATGTCATTTCGAAAATATTTAATATTTTATTTCAAAAATTTTACTGTGTATTCTCAAGACATGTATAAATATACCCTAAAAATTTTAAATAGATCGATTCACTAGTTAACTTCCCGTAGGGTAAGTTATTGTAATGAACCGAAAATCGGAATTAAAATTTTTTACTTTTCTCGACGTTTTGAAGGTTTCTGAACATTTTGGCGTACCTCAGAAAAGAGGGATGTGTGTGTGTGTTTTGTATGTCCTTATTTTTTCGTCGACGTTTTCGGCCGCATGGATCAACCGATTTGAATGGTTTAAAAAACATTCGATTCCTATTGATACAGAGATGTGCTGATTAGTTTTTGGCAAAGGCAGGTGCAGCCGTTACGGAGATACGGAGCAAAGAGTCCAGAAAATTCAAATCGAGTTTTTGAGAGAACGAAGTATCGGATTTGAATGATCTAAAAAACATTCAATTTGTAATGATTGCGAGAAGAGGTGATTAGTTTTTGGCAAAGACAGGTCCCGCCATTTCGAAGATACAGAGCTAAATGTGCAAAAATTTGCAGTTTCTGAGTGAACTAAGCGTCCGATTTGAATGATCTAAAAAACTTTCTGCTTGTATTGCCAAAACAATTGCTTTTGTGGTTAAAAGAATATTACATCTTTTTTTTATTTTCCATAGAATATTTTTGTAATTTTAGATTAAAAATTCAAAAAATTACCCAGGCTAAGCACAGTCTAAGCGCCACTCTGGTACAAATGTTTACCCAAGTGCGTTTAGACTGTTTATGTACTGGAGCACTTTTCCAATTTTGTGAAAACTATTGAAAAATGTGAAAATGCCGCCAAGTTAAGCACAGTATAAGTGAAAATGTCGCACAGAATTATTTGCAAATGCGTTTAGACTGTGGCTATACCGGAGCACTTTTTTAATTTTGTGCAAATTAGGCAACTATTTTTTTTTTGAAATTGAATTCGAAATGAAATGACTATTGTTAATGTGATAATTGATTTATGATTTACACTTGATTTGCTCAGATATAACAAGATAGCAAAAATAATGAAAGTTACAGTATTTGAAATAATATATTTGAAAACGTTTAAAATTTCTCGAATAGTTCATTACGGTACGGGAAGTTCCAGCAAGTTACCTTAAGGCACGATGCCATACACCACTAGTTTTTATTATTTTTTAACACTTTCCACCTGGGAGTCGGACTGCTAGTCGGTACGCTGCGCTTGGAATATTATTGTGCTATACATATCTCTCAACTCGGAATTTTTTTTGTATCGGATTTTTTCAAAAATGTGGTAATATTGGTTTTAAATATAATTATTATGATAATAAAATAGAAAATTTTAAAAATTAAAAAAAAAATGCGCTCAAAACCATACTATATTGTTTAAAAAATAATTTCTTCTATTATAATATCTATTATAATGGCTTACAAAATAATAAATCCTGATAGACAAGGAAACAAAATTATTACCATTATAATATATATATATATATATATATATATATATAACATAACATCTCCAGTAAAATTTATATCTCAAAAAATTATGGGGTTTATGAGCTAATAAATTAATCCGAGCGGCATCCGAGTCGAAAGGGTAAATTCCCATAAAGCCCCTTAACGCATATGTTACGAGTGATGATGCGCTTACGCATGATGTAGTTACCTAAAACTGATGGATGCTGTCGGACTTCAGCACCCAAATACACGTCTTCTTGTTGCAAATGCAAGACTTCACTGGAACCAGGAGCTGAACCATGTGCAACGTGTTTCTTGTCAACTGTTAATCTGGCACTGGCGCCATCGCGCTCCAACGTGATTTCATGCCAACGTCCATCACTCAAAGAAGCACTTGCAACACGCACTAAACCTTCACCAGAACCCAAGTCGAAACGATACTGGAGCATACCATTAACAATCTGCACAAAAAATAATAAAAGTAATAGAAATACAATTAGAAACTAAGGCACAAAAATTGACAATGTTTATTGGTGAAAGATTATAATTTTGAAGTAATACTTCTTTAGGCGCGACATGGGTGTGAAAACTTCTTTAGGCGCGACACGGGTGTAAATCTGCGAGCAAAACAAAAAATACATCAAATGTCAAATCATATGTCAAAAACAAAACAAAATGTGTCGACTTTCACTTGAGTTTTGTATTTAGCTCGTAGTCTCTAAAGATGTTTTGAAGTAAAACTTCTTTAGGCGCGACATGGGTTAGCAGTATAATTCGTGAGTTAATAAAAATTTCAGGATCGGAAGAATGTTTTATCCCGTCCCCCATAAATATTAGGTTGTCAAATATCTCCCTTCCGCCTTTTTGTATTATAAACCAAGAGCAAAAAAGCGGAAGGGAGATATTTGACAACCTAATAATTGTAGTGCAAATGATCGCAAATAAATAATGAAACTGAGGAAAAATCTGCGCTGCGTAAGAAATGATAGCTTTGGCTATGTATGTTTTGTGTGTGATCGACTTTGGCTTCAAAGTGACTTAGAAATATCAAATGATGCTCAAAAACAAATTCTTAATAATGGTTTTTGAATATTGATTTAAATAATCAGGTCGGATGTCAAACTTGTCGAAAGATATCAAATTCGGGTAAAATTCCCACTTTGTGTAAGTTTAACGGGTTTGTATTTCCACCTATACCAAATTATCTACCTAAACTAGATACTGTATCTGAAAGGTTAATTTCACCTAGGTTGTGTTTCATGCAAATTAGACGATTGAGACATGCAAATGGTCAATTTGGAATATTTGGACAAATTATAAATGTGCCTGTTGACGTTGATAATATGGTTAATTTATTACCTCGTAATATTGATGATGATCATTGCATTAATGTTCACATAAAAAAGCAAATGATTTATAGATCAAGCTATGTGCAGGGCTTGATAAATAAAACAAATATAAAAGTATGGCTTCAATTTGTTAGGCAAGACGGATATTACAGCTGTTCAAGGAATGAGATTATATCGTCAGCGAAAAAGTAAAAAAATACAAACAGTAAATGAATGTATGTTAATTTTAATTACATGAAGTTCTTCAAACACAATTGTTACAGAATGAGTTAATTTGCAAAAACAATATTTGTTTTGACGTTGTTTAACATAATACACTGTGTGAATGAATATTATAGAATTTATTGATCAGCAATTACTTTAAAACGATCATGTCATATTTAAAGTATGACCTTGATTACATTATTGTTTGTAAATATTATACATATTTTTAATGTAATCATAAATATATAATTTATAATTTATTATTATATAAATGTGTATAATGATTGACGACACTAATAAATGTGTGCATCACGAGTGTTACCATATTACTAATAAACATTATTCAAAATTTTTATATGATGTAGTTATTTTTACTCAACTTGAATTTGCTACAATATAATTGCAAATTAGTTTTACTTCAATCGCGTGTGATCCTTACGCGCACTCTTTTTTTATTAATTTCCAGTATTTTTTTTCAATGAGTCTAATTCTTACCTCTAAGATGTTGTAGTCGAATTTTCCAGCAGCATACATCAAACATCCAGTCAATTGTACAGTTCGCAATTTTAAAGTCATGACTAGACGTTCCTGCATGGCTTTAGACCCATGGACACTGTATTGGGCATAACTGCGCCCAGAAAATGAAACTGGCCTGATAGGTGTATATTGAGGGCCTACTGGTGCATCACAACCAGGACCTTCGTAGGCTCTTGGACAACGACAGGCGTACCCACGTGCGTTTGATGGTTCGTAAACACACACCTAAAAAAATATAAATATTTGTAGATTCTTTCTATCTAACTGAAAAGGGGTGATTTCATATGATATTTGTGAGTTATTTGACAAAAACCAAAAAAATGTTCCGAATTTTCTATTAAGGTGCACAACTAGTGTGTAAATTTAAAAAAATTGAATTTTCAATTTTTCCATACTTCGATAGGTTATACCTTTCAAAATAACATACCAAAATTTTAAATCGGTATCTTAAATAGTTTTTGAGTTACAGCCTTTTGAAGAGTATATATATAGTACATAGTTTAACGATCATTTAAGGGGGTCTTCCTATGTGATGGGGCTGAAAAAATCGATTTTTTTTTCATAAATTGCTCCCTTAACATATCTAGAATACGGTAGTAAAGCGATTTTAGAAAATTCGAAGTCGTTTTAAAGATACAGCAGGTAAAAGAAAGAGCGGTTCGGAGCGCTGAGTTGGCAGTTAGAAACTTTAAACGCGTTTTTCTCAAAACTGTGTTTTTCAAACTTTCGATTTTTTATAGCAAAAAACAAAAAAGAACGCCTAATTTGCAACTTTTATTTCAAATGTCTATCAAAAATCCATTTTTTTTATATTCATTTGATTATAGGTCATTCCGTGCTTTTAAGCCTACAAATTAAAACGCCGTTTATTTTTTTTTGGTCAGATAAGCCGATCAGCCGGAATCGTGGAGAAGTGGGAGCTCTTTTTTTCGAGACGAGAGTGTTCAGAGCGCTGTAACTCTAGTTTGACTGAATATTTTTAGCTGAAAATTTATATTTATACTGTCCAAATATGTGTTAATAAATGATAAAAAACTTGAAGCTCTAAATATTTACTGGTCGTAGAAAAAAAATCCTAAAATATCCCTAAAAAACAGGCCGTCACATAGGAACTTAATCCCCCTTAATAGGACCCCCTTAATCTTTAAACGCGTTTTTCTCGAAACAGCATTTTCCAAATTTGCTGCAGTGATTACTCAGAAACAAATGATGCGATCACTATCGATTGCTTTTTACATGTTCTATATATAGTTATCCGTAAATGAACTATCAATATTTTGATCGAATCAAAAATCGAATTTTGGCAGTCCAAAAACGACCAAAATCTTAGGTAAAATTCGACTTTTTTTAAAAAACGCCGTCATTTTGTCAATTTTTGATTTTTTCTTCTTTATCGTAGTTTATTTTATAGACAATATTATATAGTTTAACGAGACTTTTTTTTTAACTTTTATCCACGTAGAAGGTCGGAATTACTGCAGCAGTGAAAGGCTTTTTTTTGTCGCGCCGTTGGAGATCGACGATAACTTAAAAAATATTTAATTTTTTTCTTCTAAAATTTTACTATGTATTCTTAAAATATGTATAAATATATTCCTAAAAATTTGAAATGATTGATAAAGTAGTTTTTTTTATATAAATTCCCAAAAATCACATTTTTTTAGGCGGTTACACTAGTTGTGCCCCTTAAATCCAAAAAAATATGAAAGATCGAATTCAAAGTCGTTTTATTCCAAACTTTTATATCGGAGTGTATATAACTGTTGGCATGAAATCGTAGTAAATTTTATATAATTTCTCCCTATCTAACCGAAAAGAGGTGCTTTACCTTGATATTTGTGAGTTATTTGACAAAAACCAAAAAAATGTCCCGAAATTTCTATGAAATCTAAAAGAATATGAAAGATCGAATTCAAAGTCGTTTTATTCCAAACTTTTATATCGGAGTGTATATAACTGTAGGCATGGAATCGTAGTAAATTTTATCTAATTTCTCCCTATCTAACTGAAAAGGGGTGCTTTACCCTGATATTCGTGAGTTATTTGACAAAAACCAAAAAAATGTTCCGAATTTTCTATTAAGGGGCACCAACTAGTGTGAAATTTTCAAAAAATCGAATTTTCAATTTTTTCATATTTCGATAGGTTATACCTTTCAAAATAACATACCAAAATTTCAAATCGGTATCTTAAACAGTTTTTGAGTTACAGCCATTTAAAGAGTATATATATATAGTATATAGTTTAACGATCATTCAATCTTTAAACGCGTTTTTTTCGAAACAGCATTTTCCGAATTTGCTGCAGTGATTACTCAAAAACAAATGATCCGATCACTATCGAACTTTTTTACATGTTCTATATATAGTTCTCCGTAAAATGAACTATCAATTGTTTGATCGGATCAAAAATCGAATTTTGGCAGGCCAAAAACGACCAAAATTTTAGGTAAAATTCGACTTTTTTTAAAAAAAACGCCGTCATTTTGTCAATTTTTGATTTTTTTTTCTTTATCGTAGTTCATTTTACAGACAGTATTATCTAGTTTAACGAGATTTTTTTTTAAATTTAATCCACGTAGAAGGCCAAAATCACTGCAGCAGCGAAGGACCATTTTTTTATCGCGCCGTTGGAGATCGACGATAACTTAAAAAATATTTAATGTTTATTTCAAAAATTTTACTACGTATTCTTAAAACATGTATAAATATATTCCTAAAATTTTGAAATGATTGATAAAGTAGTTTTTTTGATATAAATTCCCAAATATCACCTTTTTTTAGGCGGTTACACTAGTTGTGCCCCTTAAATCCAAAAAAAATATGAAAGATCGAATTCAAAGTCGTTTTATTCAAAATTTTTATAGCGAGGTGTATATAACTGTTGGCATGGAATCGTAGTAAATTTTATATAATTTCTCCCTATCTAACCGAAAAGAGGTGCTTTACCTTGATATTTGTGAGTTATTTGACAAAAACCAAAAAAATGTCCCGAAATTTCTATGAAATCTAAAAGAATATGAAAGATCGAATTCAAAGTCGTTTTATTCCAAACTTTTATATCGGAGTGTATATAACTGTAGGCATGGAATCGTAATGAATTTTATCTAGTTTCTCTATTTGTGAGTTATTTGACAAAAACCAAAAAAATGTCCCAATTATCGTGTAATTGCCGGTGCAAGTTGTGTATTATTTTATTACCTGTAATCCTGGACAAGGCGCCCCAGCACAAGCATCAAGAACACTCTCGCACCTGCTCCCAAAATATCCCTGCCTACAGCTGCACTCAATATCCCTTTTGTGTTTAGCACAAACAAAACTAGTAACATCAGTAGCTATAGTTTCAGTTTCACTAGGATCCAAAACAACACGTTCACTACACGAACCACCATTCAGGCACATACCAACACTGCACAAAGTTCTTGGAATGTCCTCAACAACCAATTTAGTGGCTTCTTCGAGTTCGTCCATATGGGTATTCAAAACTCTTCTTATAGCATCACTAGTGTAAAATATTGAGTTGGATTGTTGGAGCTTACGTACTGCAAATAGGACTTCTAAGTCGCTTTCGTGGGTGGATCTGCGTGCACGATTTGCAGGCTGGACACTTATGATGATTACATCTTTTAGGCGTGTGTTCATGGCGTTTTTGATGCACCTGACAAAACCTTTGCGGTGGCTTAAAACAAAATCAGCAGGGCTGATTTTGCGGAATTTTATGGACGCAGCATTGTTGAGCATTTCATCAGAAATTAATTCCACAGCGACTTTGATCATGGAGCTTGAAATAAACTTGCCATCGGTTACTGTAACGTTGATTTTGTACTCGCCGACGTCCAAACGAGGTAAAGCTGTCAGTTCACCATTGGTGCTGTTTATGGAAAATAATCCTGAGGAGTCGTACAACACTCCCATACTTTGTGCCAAACCAAATGTTAAGGTATCATAAGGATCTTGGTCGTTTGCATGTACTTTACCAATCAAACCACCAGCATACTCGTCGTTCAGGGAATTGATATTGATCTCCAAAGGTGTGATAACAGGTGGGTACTGACTTTCTTCAATAACTTTCACTTTGACATAAGTATCGGAGTACAAAGGTGGTGTACCGTTGTCAAAAACACGTATATGCAACGTATAAGATTCTTTTAACGCGTGGTTAAATTTACCAGCAGTTCTTAAAACACCATCTTGTTCCAACCTAAAAACACCTTCTTCATTGCCTGAACGAAAATCAAAAGTGTATGGTGAGGTATTTGGATTGGTATCAGCATCCGTGATGTCAAATTTAAGCAAAACATGTCCCAGAGTCATATCTTCTTGCACAATCGCTGAGTAATTGGTTTTGGTGAATATTGGTGGATTGTCATTAGCATCTGTTATTATCACATTGACAAAAACGTGGTTGGAAAGTGTTGGTATACCATGATCCTTAGCCTGCACTTCCAAAACATAATTAGATATAGTTTCTCGGTCCAAATCAGCACCAACAGTAATATACCCAGTATCTTTTTCAATAGTAAAGTGTCCACCTCGATCACCGCCCACAATTTCGTAGGAAATCTGTCCATTTTCGTTGCTATCCAAATCGTTAGCAGAAACCTGCAGAATTTTATCACCGATCTGAGCATCTTCCCGGATTCTAGCACTGTACGATTCTTGGGAAAACATAGGCAAATTATCATTGCTATCAGTGATGCTTATATTAACAGTAGCCATATTACTCAAAGGAGGTATACCACCGTCAACAGCTTGTATTGTTAGAAAATAATCCTTGGTACGTTCGTAATCCAACAAATCAGCTATAGAAATTATTCCTGTACGACTGGTTATTGCAAATTTTTTGTGTTCATTACCCCCAACTATGGAGTAGTAGATTTCAGCATTTGGACCAGTATCTTTGGAGGTTGCTAGGACGTGGATGACTTCAGAACCTACAGAGTTTATTTCAGGTACTGACGCAAAATAGTATTTGGATGTAAATTCTGGAGGATTGTCGTTGATGTCTTGGACATTCACTACTAAAGATGTAATTGCTGTTAAGCGTGGCGAACCTTGGTCTTCAGCTTGTACTGTCAGGTTGTACATGGCTTTTACTTCACGATCCAAGGGCTTGGATAGAATCACTATACCACTATCAGGTGTGATGCTAAAATGATCGTTCATGGAGTCTATGAAGGAGTATCTGATTTTTCGGTTCAAGCCCACATCGTCGTCAGTTGCATGGATTTTGGTAACCAAAGAACCAATTTCTGCATCCTCCGGCATAGCAACACTGTACGTGGGTGTTGTAAACATTGGGTAGTTATCATTCAAATCTGATATTGAAATTTCAACGATAGAACTGCATTCCCAACTAGGTCTATCCATATCTTGTACATGTGCTGTGAGTTGGTACTTGGAACGTGTTTCCCTGTCTAAATTTCTTGCAGTCTTCAAGTAACCTGTTAGTTTATCCAGTATAAAATCATCAGAACCAGCACCAGTTAGGTAGTATCGGAGTTTAGAGTTTTCTTCTTCATCAGCATCAGTTGCTAAAATTGCTAGGACAAAAGAACCTGTGTACACGCCTTCAGATATGGTTTCACGATATCTGTACCTTAAACAATAAGGTGGGTTGTCGTTTGCGTCCAAAATATGCACCGTGACATACGTCACGTCTGTGAATTTACCATCAGTAACAGTCACTTCCATATCATATCTATCCAAAGTTTCACGATCCAAACTTTTAGCAACGTACATCTCACCAGTTGGTCGTATTTGAAACTGGGACAACAAGTCACCTTTGGTTATATAATATTCCACAGGATTGTTTAAATCGTTGTCCAAGTCTGTCACAGCTAATTTTACCACAACAGTACCTGGTAAAGCATCTTCTTTAACAGAAGCTTCGTAACTGGTGGTTTTAAATACAGGTGGACTGTCGTTGTAGTCTTTGAGTTTTATCAAAATGCTGGTACGTGCTGAGTGCTTTTGGTTACCATTATCAGTAGCCACGATTTGGAACCGATATTCTGACTTTTGTTCTTTATCCAAAGGCACTAAGGTTGTTATAGTGCCTGTGTATTGGTCCACTGCAAAAACATTGGCTAGATCACCTATATCGGAGCTGAAACTGTAACGTACTTCACCATTGGATCCTAAGTCTGCATCAGTTGCTTTGACTTTAAAAATAACTGTGGATTCGTTGATGTTTTCAGCCAAAACCAAGGAATAAGGATTGCTGTCGAATACTGGTGCGTGATCATTTTCATCCAAAACTTTAAGGATAATTTCTGCCAAAGCACTTAAAGGTGGACTTGCATCGGTTTCAGCAAGTACACCAATGACGTGTGTGTCTTTGGATTCTCTGTCTAAACTTTTTGCCAAAGTGAGTTGTCCAGTTGAGTCTATGTTGAACTGGGGATCCCCTTCATCACCTGATATAATATAAAAATTAGCAGTAACATTTGTGATCATTTTCAAACGCGTAACGATGGTGCCTATAAGTGACTTTTCTGATAAAAAGAATTTTTCCTCCTTTTTCTCGAACAACGGTGGGACGTCTGAAGGTGCCATCACGTACACATATACAGGTACATCTGAGTGCAAAGAAGGACTTCCCAAGTCTTCAGCACGTATAAAAAATTGAAACATTTGGTTCATAAATGGTTCGGGATCTTTGATAATACTGACGCTTCCATGCAAAGGATGCACTGCAAACAATTCTTTGACACCAGAGTTTGTGGAGTCGTAGATGGAATAACGTACTTGTCCGGCACCATCTTCGTCTTTATCAAAAGCCCGTACTTTCAAAAATGTGGAGTTAACTTGCAAATCACTTTGGATATTTGCTTTGTACTCCTTCATAACAAATTCAGGAGCGTTATCGTTCTCATCACCTACATTCACACGCAGAGTCAAAAAACCATTTCTGGCACCACCATCTGTAGCCATAATTAAAACCTCATACATTTTCTTCAGTTCCCGGTCTAACTTAATTTTAGTTACAACATCACCAGTGATTTTGTCAATAGCAAACACTTCACGCATGGCATCTGATGGTATGGAGTACGTAATTTGACCATACTCACCAAAATCCTTGTCAGTAGCCTTAACTTTGGTGACAGATCTACCAGCCAGTTGGTTTTCCTTGATCTGTACACTGTATTGCACTTCTGGGAACACAGGATCATGCAAGTTGGCTGGTAGAATTGATACTTTTAGACGTGCAAAACTTGTGTGCACACCATCGGTTACAGAAATATTCAGCACCATGGCTTGCTGGTCGCCAAAACGTTGCAAGTTCACAAGTCTCAACACTCCTGTTTTGGAATCCATACCAAAAGTTTGTAGTTCATTACCACGTACAATACTGTACCTCAATCTGTCCCTGTCAATTCTGTCAGGATCACTTGCCTTGACAGCAGTGACAAATTGTCCTCGACCAGCATGTTGGGATAAAATGCAGGAGTATGATGGTTTTTCGAATTTGGGAGCATTGTCGTTCATGTCTAAAACTGTGACCCAAACATGTGCAGTACTTGACAGACTTGGAGTGCCTTTATCAGTTGCCATTACTGTAAAATGATGTGTCGAATGTTGTTCATGGTCTAAAGACTTTTTGAGATAAACCACACCATCTGCAGCTTCCATGTGAAAGTACTCGCTTGCATTCCCATGATCATCACGTATGGAGTAAATTATCTCCTGATTAACATCTACAAAAAAAAACAACAATAAGCACTTGTATACAACTAGGGTGTGTCGGTTTTCAAAAACCGGTTTTCTGGCGAAACTTATGGAATTCGAAAACCGGTTCTTTAGTGAAAAAAGACGATTTTTACTGTAGAAATGGAGAATGACAAATATAGCCAAATATAAAAGATAGGTGAAAGTGTTTTGATTTTCAAAATCATATCGTTTCTATAGCATTTTATATCTTATCAGTCTGCAATGGTTCCCAGAAAGATTTTGTTCATATTAATTTAGATTTTTATACCACTGTATGCATTAATTTAAATCAGTGTGACTTCTTCTTGAAGAATCAACTTCCTCTACTCAAACTTATAAAAAAAGATTTCTAAACCCTAGAAGTCACAAATTAAAGAACAAAAAACTTAGAATTATTATATCTGGCTTTAAAAATAATTAAGCATAATTTGGTCGCAAGTATGATAGGATTTTCTATTTCAGAAAATTTTGTGAGTAAACAATAAAGGACACGTCTAAGTAGCGATTCGATAGACGTTCTCAGTTTTTTAAATCATATTTTATTAGGTTGTCAAATATCTCCCTTCCGCTTTTTTGCTCTTGGTTTATAATACAAAAAGGCGGAAGGGAGATATTTGACAACCTTATATTAAACAGAAAAACAATTAGAATGTTTAAAATTAATTAATTAAAATTGCTCGGAACAGACAATACGCGAGTTTAGCTTAATTGTTTTTAAAGCTAAAATTGATATTAACAAGTATGTATCGACATGTATCTAATATTTTTTTATTTTTTTCAATTCAATGAATGTTTTTTATTAACTTTCCGTAGAGCAATTTATAGTAATCGCAAAAAACTTGAAAATAAATTTTTTTATATACATTTACGTTTCAGAGATTTCTGAATATTTTGGCATACCTTAGAAAAAAATGGATGTTTGTGTGTGTGTGTGTGTGCGGATACAAATTTTCGTCGACGATTTCGGGAACACCGATGAACCGATTTGAATATTTCAAAAAACATTCGATTCGTATTGATAAGGAGACGTGCTGATTAGTTTTTGACGAAGGCAGGTCCAGCCGTTCCGAAGATACGGGGCAAAAAGTGCCAAAAACGGTAACTCAGTTTTTAAGAGTCCGATTTCAATAATTCAAAAAACATTTTACTTGTATTGACAAGGTGAAGAACCGATCAAATTTTCATAAAGGCAGGTCTAGCGGTTTCGGAGATCTAATGAAAAAATTTCAAAAAAATTCCATTTGGTGGTCAAAAATGATCATTAGACATATGCACATCAAATTATCAGATATTTTATAGAGATTTTAACAATAAGTATAATTTTGGTTTACATTCCTATGTGTTCGGTACCAATGTATAGGTATGGAATATTTTTCCTCATATTCTAAAAGGTTCATAGTATATTGCAAGCTTAAAATTTTTTTTTTTGGTTTTTCGAAAAATCTACAGTGGTGTAACCTCTTAAATAAAATTGCTCGCAACAGACAATACGCGAGTTTAGCCTAATTGTTTTTAAAACTAAAATTTATATTAACAAGTATGTATCAATATGTATCTAATTTTTTTTAATTTTAATTTAATTTAATAATTTTTTTTCATTTAAAAATGTATTATTTTTATTATTTGAAAACTTTCCTTTCACTATCATAAAAATATTTTCATTCTTATATGTGAAAATGATGCACGAATAACGAATAATTATTTTCAAAGTTTGTTAATCAAGATAAACTATTATTTTTTAGTTCTACTAATTAAAATTAAAATAATTTTGTTTACTATCTATAAAATTGAACAATAAACAAATTCAGTCAAATACTGCTCTAAATTACACAAAATTTGCGGATGAATTACAGAATATTCGAGCAAAAATTTATTTTCTATATAAAATTCGAAAACCGGTTAAAACCGGTTTTTTGGTAAAATTAAAATTCGAAAACCGGTTTTCTGAAATGTCGGGTTTTGTATAACTTATATATCATTTATCGACTTACTGGTGTCATTATCCTTGGCATGTACTCTAAGGACAGCAGTACCAAATGGATCAGCTTCAGATACTGTGACATCATAGGAGTCTGAAGCAAATTCTGGAGGACAATCATTGACATCACTGACCAAAACACTGACAACTACATCAGCCCAGACACCAGAAACACCATCAGTTGCTCTAAGTGTCAACTCATATTGACGAGTTGTCTCGTAGTCTAATTCATCTGCTACATAAATGGCACCTGGGGAAAAAAGAGATAGTTGAAAATGTGGAATTTGGATTTGGTTGGCATGCAAAAGTACAAAAACAATAGGGAATATTAAATCCAAAATAGAGAAAATTTCTATTTTTTTAATTTTTTTTTTTGGTCAAATTCCAAAACTTGCATTAGACGTGAGTCCAGCCAAAATATTAAGAAATATTTAGAAATAAATCAGGAACATGCAATTTTTTAGTGGTATTTGATAACAATTCATATACTTACAGATATGATTTAAATATTATATATTATGCCCAAACTAAAATACATTGCATTCCAGATAAAACTTCCATTCAAAAAAATGATACTTAAAGAGACCATTTGGCTAAGTCAGTACTGGGGTATACAATCCTAAACTTTCAAGAATTCTTTCCAAATAATTTTGTTCCAAAAGTTTAAAAATGCTGTATACAGTTCTTTAGGCTATTTAATCAACTATTCAATAATGCATAATAGTGTATAGGTTGTTGAATAAATTATTAACAAAATTTGGCAAAATATAGGCAAACTACATTCAACTGTGTAAAAATATGGCTAAGCCAGTACTGTGTATAAACATGGCTAAGCCAGTACTGGCGAATACAATCCTAAACTTTCAAGATTTTTTTCCAAATAATTTTGTTCCAAAAGTTCAAATATGTTGTATACAGTTCTTTAGGCTATTTAATGAACTATTTAATGATGTACAATAGTTTATAGGTTGTTGTATAAATTATTAACAAAATTTGGCAAAATATAGACAAACTACATTCAATTAACTGTGTATAAATATGGCTAAGTCAGTACTGGCGTATACAATCCTAAACTTTCAAGAATTTTTTCCAAATTATTTTGTTCCAAAAGTTCAAAAATGTTGTATACAGTTCTTTAGGCTATTTAATAAACTATTTAATGATGTACAATAGTTTATAGGTTGTTGAATAAATTATTAACAAAATTTGGCAAAATATAAACAAACTACACTCAATTAACTGTGTATAAATATGGCTAAGTCAGTACTGGCGTATATAATCCTAAATTTTCAAGAATTTTTTCCAAATTATTTTGTTCCAAGAGTTCAAAAATGTTGTATACAGTTCTTTAGGCTATTTAATATACTATTAAATGATGTACAATAGTTTAAATGTTGTTGAATAAATTATTAACAAAATTTGGCACACACTAAACATGATGATTGGAAATTTTACATCCAAATTAGAGAAAATTTCTATTTTTGATTTTTTTTTTGTCAAATTCTAAATCTTGTATTGAATGTAAGTCCAGCCAAAAGTTGAAATAAACTAAAAGCATGCAATTTTTCAGTGGTTTTTGATAACTATTGATATATTTACAGATATGATTTAAATATTATATATCATGCATGCCCAAATAAAAATACATAGCATTCCAGATAAAATTTATATCTGATCCAAATGATACTTACAAGGACCATTCGAAGAATCTGGAGCTGCATAAAATGTAAAGAAAATTTTGTTTAGAATTTACAAAATACAATAAATATAAATTATATATATTTAATTGTCTACATGCTAAAAAGCTATAAAAATAAAATAAATAAAGCCTGCTTCCAAATTTAACTAATTTACCTAATAAATAAAAATTAACTAATTTATTGCTTAAGGGGCACAACTAGTGTAACCGCCTAAAAAAAGGTGATTTTTGGGAATTTATATTTGAAAAACTACTTTATCAATCATTTCAAAATTTTAGGAATATATTTATACATGTTTTAAGAATACATAGTAAAATTTTTGAAGAAAAAAATTAAATATTTTTTAAGTTATCGTCGATCTCCAACGGCGCGACAAAAAAAGACCCTTCACTGCTGCAGTGATTCCGGCCTTCTACGTGGATGAAATTTAAAAAAAAAAATTTTATTTTATATATTTACCATATAATATTGTCTGTAAAATAAACTACGATAAAGAAAAAAAAATAAAAAATTGACAAAATTACCGCGTTTTTTTAAAAAAAGTCGGATGTTACACAAAATTTTGATCCGATCAAATAATCGATAGTTCATTTTACGGGGAACTATATATAGAACATGTAAAAAAATTGATAGTGATCGGATAATTTGTTTTTGAGTAATCGCTGCAGCAAATTCGGAAAATGCTATTTCGAGAAAAACGCGTAAAGATTAAATGATCGTTATACTATATACTATATACATACTCTTTATATGTCTGTGACTCAAAAACTATTTAAGATATCGATTTAAAATGTTGGTATGTTATTTTTAAAGGTATAAACTATCGAAATATGAAAAAATTGAAAATTCGATTTTTTGAAAATTTACACTAGTTGTGCCCCTTAATGAAATGATAACAAAGCTGATGCATTTATATATATAAGAACCTTCACCAAAATTGATTCAACAAAATTATAAATTTATAATTCAGATTTTTCATAAGTTGTACATTTACCAAAACCATAAACAAATTCAATTCCACCTTACCAGTATTAAAATCTAAAGCAAACTGCTCCTTCTCGTTCCCACTAACAATACTATAAATAAGTTGTCGATTCAAAGGAGAAGTAGCCCTAACACTGACAGCAATTGGAGCCCTTAATTCAGTATCCTCGGGCACCACTGCACTATAAAATTGCCTATCAAAAACTGGCATACTTCTATCAATAACCTTGACGTGGACTGATACTTCAGTTGAACATGGAGTTGTCCCTGGGGATAAAAAACACATTTAGAATTGGACATATGGGTAAAGGTAAGAAACACATTGGTGACTGAATAATGGTAACATGGTTAAAGATATGGGTCATGTACCTCCGTCATATGCTCCGATGATTAGTTCGTATTCCCTGTTATGGCCTTCCAAGTTTTGTTTCAGAGTGACTTCACCAGTTTTTCTGCAAACTTTAAACAATTCACCAGGACCACGTTTCATTTCGTACCTGACCTCACCATTTTCATTGCTGTCTAAATCTATTGCCCTAACCTAAAATTGACACCAAAATTAGATGATACTGTAAACTTGTTTAGTTCATACTAGGGAATGCAATACCGATGGAAAATTTCAATACCGGTATTTCGGTAATTTTTCATTCTAAAACCAGAATTACCGGTATTTTTATTATCTCAAACAAACGTAAACCAAATTGAAAGTTACTAGTACAAATATAAAAAAATGTATATACAACTACAACTATATTCAACTAAACAATAAAATAAAACAATAAGTTAATTTTTTTAAATAATAATATATCAAAAGTATATCCAATTTTTTTAACTCATTATCATTATCGAGTATATTGAGTACTTTTCACCAAAAACAAACTTATGAATAAGAAAGACCAAAAACTCATAAAAAGATCAAATTACATTATTATAATAAACTGTATTGTCTGTATCCGATGTGTTAAATTAGCATAATCTCTAATATTTAAAAAAAATAATTTTTCTACACTAATTTAAGATCGGATACTTTGTCGAGATAAATAATAAGTTACTATAATTGTTGAGTATTGTTATTTAAAACAACGTGATGCTTCTATAGTTTTTTCAAACTTCGAAACGTTTTCGAAAATAATATTAGGTTGTCAAATATCTCCCTTCCGCTTTTTTGCTCTTGGTTTATAATACAAAAAGGCGGAAGGGAGATATTTGACAACCTAATATTTTATAATTATAATAAGAAGCAAACACATTCAGTATTTATCATAATTATTATGTATAAAGTTAGAAAAAAATTAAGATTACGCAGGGGTAATCTGTATGATATAAAATATTTTGGCGCAAATATCACTTAAAAAAACCGTTACATTTTTACAAAAGATGAAACAAACATCATTATATATCAGTCCAATTCTATTTATTGTAACACGATATGAAGCCCTTTGGAAAGCAATAAATATTCAGTTTAATGACGAGTTGAGATAATATTCGACATTTGTTTATCCTATAGAATCACTTGAAGATATAGCCGTTTATGCGATTGTGGAATTTAAAGATAAATTTGTTCCGAAAAATTTAAACTTTAGGTCATTATGTATCAAATAGCGCTTAGGTAAAAATACCAAAAATACCGGTATTTTTATTTTATTTTGTTTTATTTTATTTGTTTACCTGTGTGATTGTTCTTCCTCTTTGGTCATCAATAGAGACAACAGCATAGTATGGTAAGTTGACAAACATCGGACAATTATCATTGATGTCTAAAATGGTAACGTTCACCAAAGTTCTTGTAACTCTTGTAGATTGTTCTTCTACTGATATCCTGGCTTCTATGATCAACTCGTAGTGATCCTGGTTAAAAAATCAACAGTAAACTAGTGGTATATGGCATCGTGCCTTAAGGCAAATTAATGGAACTTCCCGTACCGTAATGAAATATTTGAGAAATTTTAAACGTTTTCAAATATATTATTATAAATACTGTAACTTTCATTATTTTTGCTGTCTTGTTATATCTGAGCAAATCAAATGTAAATCATAAATCGATTTATCTCCAGAACATTAACAATCGTTCGTCATTTCATTTCGAATTCAATTTCAAAAAAAAAAAAAACAGTTGCCTAAATTACACAAAATCTAAACGCATTTGCAAATAATTATGTGCGACATTTTTACTTATACTGTGCTTAGCTTGTCGGCATTTTCACATTTTTCAATAGTTTTCACAAAATTGGAAAAGTTCTCCAGTACCTAAACAGCCTAAACGCACTTGCATGAACATCTGTACCAGAGTGGCGCTTAGACTGTGCTTAGCCTGGGTAATTTTTTCAATTTTTTGACACACATACACACACATCCATTTAGTTTCTGAGGTATGCTCCTTAAAATGTTCAGAAATTTTCAAAACGTCGAGAAATGCAAAAATTTTCATTTTCGATTGTCGGCCCATTAGAAAGTTTGGCCTAGAGAATTAATAAAAGGGACTTTACTAACGAGGAAACTAATATTTGATATAAATAATTTAAGAAAATGGACTACATTGGCGAGCAAATTTTGATTTCGATTTTTAATCTAAAAAGGAACTCTACTGACTTTGCTTTGATCTTAACATAAAAAAGACTCTACTGACAAAAAATGTAAGAAGCAAATTAAAATTTAAAAAAGAAACTCTACTGAAGAGCAAAAGTTTAATTTGATCTAAAATATTAAACGGGACTCTACTGACGAGCAAAATTAATTTTGTACAAGAAGATTAAAAAAGAACAATACTGACGAGCAAACTATTATTTTATTTAGGAAAAGGACTCTACTGACGAGCATAGTACAATAGCAATCTTAAATATAAAAAGGGACTCGACTGGCGAGCAAAATAACTGAGCAATTTTTAATGTAAAAAGGGACTCTACTGACGAGCAAACTTAATTTTTCTTTTAAAAAGGGACTCTACTGACGAGCAAACATAATTTTTCTTTTAAAAAGGGACTCTACTGACAAGCAAACATAATTTTGATCTGGAATATCAAAAAAGGGACTCTACTACGACCAAATACAATTTTTTTTTAAAAAGGGACTCTACTGACAAGCAAACTTAATTTTTCTTTTAAAGAAGGGACTCTACTGACGAGCAAACATAATTTTGATCTAAAATATCAAAAAAGGGACTCTACTGACGAGCAAATACAATTTTTCTTTTAAGAAGGGACTCTACTGACAAGCAAACTTAATTTTTATTTTAAAAAGAGACTCTACTGACAAGCAAATACAATTTTTCTTTTAAAAAGAGACTCTACTGACGAGCAACTTTGATTTTGATGTGAAAATTGAGGAGCAAACTGCAGTTGTGATTTAGTATTTAAAAAAGAGACTCTACTTAATCACACTACTCAATTACAAAAATTTTATGGAAAATAAAAAAAGATGTAATGATTTTTTATTCTCAGAAGCAATTGTTTTGTCAATACAAGCAGAAAGTTTTTTAGATCATTCAAATCCGATACTCCGTTCTATCAAAAACTCGATTTGTATTTTTTGCACTCTTCGCTCCGTATCTCCGTAACGGCTGGACCTGCCTTTGCCAAAAACTAATCAGCACATCTCCCTATCAATAGGGATCGAATGTTTTTTAAACCATTCAAATCGGTCGATCCGTGCGCCCGAAAACGTGGACATGTAAAACACACACATGCACACACACACATCCATTTTTTCTGAGGTATGCCAAAATGTTCAGAAACCTTCAAAACGTGGAGAAATGCAAAAATTTTCAATTTCGATTTTTGGACGATTACAATAACTACCCTACGGGAAGTTAGAAATCAACTACTGCTGGTGATAAATACAGTTTTAAGCTTTAGTTACCTCGACTTCTCGATCAAATCTTTGGCCAGTGGTTTGAATGGCTCCACTAGTCTTTCCAATGGAAAATAAATCTGTAGGATTTAAAATCCGGAATTCCACGTGTTCATTCAAGGCTGCTCCGATGACATCAACTACACAAACTGTAGCTACACGTGTTGAATTTTCAACAATAGAACCTAAAAACATAATGGAATTAGACATAATACTAAAGACTGATGTTGGTTTTGTAAGGTACCTTCGTAAACATGTTTTCTAAACATAAGTCCACCATTCTGAGCATCCTTAACCTTCACAAAAACCCTTGCAACACTTGAAAAACTGCCATCAGATACCCTGACTCGTAAATTGTATTTATCCTGGAAGTTATCAGCACGTTTTGTGGTGATCACTCCTGTCTTCAAATTGATTTCAAAAGATTCAGTTTCATCACCATCTATTATATCGTAACGTAAGGATTCTGTAGTATCAGGATCAAAAGCTTTTACTGATGTCACGACAATGTTTTTGAAAGTTGGGAGCAACAAAGTTACATTGTAGTGAGATTTGGAAAAAACTGGTGGACTGTCGTTGACGTCGTTGACGTTGATGATGACTTCTGCAGTTGATTCGGAGGATAGACGGGGTTTTCCTAGATCAGTAACCTGGGGGAAAAATTTACATATTATTCAGTCCTGGCTGGATACGGTGTTTAGATACTTTACCTTGACGTGGAAGTGAAATTTGGGTATGGTCTCGTAATCCAAAGTCCTTGTAGTCTGTATTGCACCAGTGCCAGGATCAATTTTAAAGTATTGTTTAGGCAGTTGTTCCAAAATTTCGTACTGCAACAAAGCGTTAGGCCCAGAATCCAAATCTCTAGCTCGTATCACCAAAGGTGCTGTTAGGTTTGTTAAAACTTGTGCACCGGCGTCACTGGACTCCGACACAAAACCTGGACAAAAGTAAGATATCAGTACCATGATTTGAATTGTATAATGTATCAATTATCCCTTACCTGTGTAATTAGATAGTTCAAAGTAAGGTGCGTTGTCGTTTTTGTCCAAAACATGGATCAGGACAAAAATTTCAGCTTCAGCTCCTGTCATGCTCCTGGCAGTTACTGTCAAGTTGTAGGCTTGTTTGGTCTCATAGTCCAAAGGTAGAGCTGTGGTTCTCAAAATACCAGTCGAAGGATTTATATCAAAAGCCCCATTGTCGTTACCATTTTTAATTTCGTAAATCAGCGAAGATGATGCTCGTGCGTTCAAGTGCAACACGTAGTTACCAGGTTGTGTGTTTTCGAAGACTTCAGCTGAAGGGTTGACTTCCAAAAATCTGGCAAATAAAAATATGTGTGAGTAATGTCCTAAAATGCAATGCAAAGGGTTTGTCTTACCTTGGTGGTGCATTATCAGCCATAGTGACCATCACGTGCAAAGGAATTGTGGTGACCAAAGGAGGATTTCCAAAGTCTTGTGCTCGTAGTTGTAGCATATATTCAGATGCTGAATTTATGTCCAAACCACGGGCTACACGTACATCACCGAACATTGGATCGATGGTGAAAGCATTGCCTACATTACCTAAAACATAATGTATAAAAGTGTATATATTGTTGAATAAATTGTAAACAAAATATGGCAAAATATAAATATGTGGTAAAACTAGTTATGGTGTATAAAATTCCAAACTTCAATCATTTTTTACAAATAATTTTGTTCCAAAAGTTTAAAAATGTTGTATACAGTTCTTTAGGCTATTTAATAAACTATTTATTGATGTACAATAGTTCATAAGTTGTTGAGTAAATTATTAACAAAATTTGGCACTACAAAACAAACTACACTCCATTAACTGTGTATAAATATGGCTAAGTCAGTACTGGCGTATACAATCCTCAATTTTCAAGAATTTTTTGCAAATAATTTTGTTCCAAAAGTTTAAAAATGTTGTATATAGTTCTTTAGGCTATTTAATAAACTATTTAATTATGTACAATAGTTTATAGGTTGTCGAATAAATTATTAATAAAATTTGGCAAAATATAAACTATACTCAATTAACTGTGTATAAATATGGCTACTAAGTCAGTATCTGGCGTATACAATCCTAAATTTTCAAGAATTTTTTCCAAATAATTTTGTTCCAAAAGTTTAAAAACGTTGTATACAGTTCTTTAGGCTATTCAATAAACTATTTAATGATGTACAATAGTTTATAGGTTGTTGAATAAATTATTAACAAAATTTGGCACACTCTGTGTATAAATATGGCTAAGTCAGTACTGGCGTATAAAATCCTAAACTTTCAAGAATTTTTTCCAAATAATTTTGTTCCAAAAGTTCAATAATGTTGTATACAGTACTTTAGGCTATTTAATAAACTACTTAATGATGTACAATAGTTTATAAGTTGTTGAATAAATTATTAACAAAATTTGGCACACTCAATTAACTGTGTATAAATATGGCTAAGTCAGTACTGGCGTATACAATCCTAAACCTTCAAAAATTTTTTCCAAATAATTTTGTTCCAAAAGTTCAAAAATGTTGTATACAGTTCTTTAGGCTATTTAATAAACTATTTAATGGTGTACAATAGTTTATAGGTTGTTGAATAAATTATCAAAAAAATTTGGCAAAATATAAACAAAGTCTAACTCCCAAAGTCTTTTACTACTACTTACCACTGACGATACTATAGGCAACTCTGGCGTTTTCGCCCTTGTCCCTATCAGCAGCCCTAGCCCTGGCAACAAGACTTCCAGTTGCTGCAGTTTCATGACATGCAGCTTGCAACAAACGAGCCCCAAAATCAGGGGCATGATCATTACGATCGTGTACTTTTATCAAAATCCTGGCTGCATCCCTTCTTGAAGGAGCACCATGGTCACGAACAGACACAGTCAGAAGATGACTTTCTGCAGTTTCCCTAGGGGTAAAAGATACATGAAATATTGTAGATGCACTCAGAAATCTTTTATTCTTAAGGTAAGGAATATTAATCTTGAACAAGAGTCTTTTATTTTTTACCTGTCCAGTTTTCCTGCCAACGTTACAGCACCAGTAAGACTATCGATTCTGAATAATTTGGCATCACCAGGACTTCTGGATCCTTGCAGGCTGTAAAATAATTTATCACCATCTGCATCACTTGCTGATAATCTCAAAACTTCTGTACCAGATGGAAGACCTTCTGAAACTTGAACGGAGTATTGGGATTCGCTGAACAATGGACGGTTGTCGTTGATGTCTATGACTGTCACGAATAACTGAAAAGATAAATAAATTAATAATTGATGTTAATAAAAATTAATAGTTTCTGTTTGATAGTTGGTTCTTTTACCTGTGTGTGTACTGTAGAAGGTCCATCGGTTACTGCAATAGTCAAATTGTATTCCTGCTGGACTTCCCTGTCTAATTTTTTGGCCAGCAAAACGTTGCCTTTTTCGTGGTCGATGTAGAATTCGTTGCGTTCATCTCCACCTAGACAAAAAAAATTAAAAAAAATTAATTTGTAACTTGCAATAACTTTTACTTGTACAAGTATTTCTCTGCTACTTTTGGAGTATTACTCTTTCTAGATCAGAGACCTGGAATCTAAAAATGATTGAGAAGGATCTTTAATAGAAGAAATATTGCCAAGATTTAGGAAGGAAAAAACTGTTCTGTCAGAAGTAAACTGGGTTGGATTTATATTGGTAAAGAAGTGACTTCTGCACAATGTCATTGAAGATCAAACAAAGGGCCGAATAGAATCAAGATTTATTTGTTAAATTAAATCATATATTTATTTATTCACCAATTTTCTAAACCATTTAATTTTAAATTCACTTTCTATTTATTATAAAATTTTGGGTTATATTTTATTATTGTAATTTATTTACTGTTTCTTATTTTTCATTTATCCTTGTGATATTAATTTAATATTTATTTTTGTTAATATAGTTTTATATTAATTAACCTATTTTATTTTATTTTATATTATTTTATTTTATTTTAATTTATTTAATTTTTTTTTTATTCAATTTTATTTAATGTTATTTTAATTTATGTTATTTACTTATTTATTTAATTTTTACGTGTTGGTCATTTAAAATTTTGGAGTTCACTTATTTTTTTTTAATAAATCAAAACTGTTTCTTTTTGTTTTTTTTAGTAGAGTCCTTTTTTATAAACATTTTATTAATATTGAAAAAGTAAAGAAAGACCCTACTGACGAGCAAAAATTATCAATATATGTTTTTAAAAAGAAAATAACTCTACTAGCGAGCAAAAATATTAAACAAAAGACTCTACTGACGAGCAAAAATCACCAAAATTTTTTTTTGGAAAAAGGACTCGACTGACGAGCAAAAATTATCAGAGAAAATGTTTAAAAAAAATCTGACGAGGAGAAATATTAAAATAATGACTGGAAAAAATGACTCCACTGACGAGCAAAAAATTATCAAAAAATAGTTTTAGAAAAAGGACTCTACTGACGAGCAGAAATATTATAATAATGATTTAAAAAAGGACTCTACTGACGAGCAAAAATGATAAAATTTACGTTGAAAAAGGGCTCTACTGACAAGCAAAAATCACTAAAAATAATATAGAAGGACTCTACAAAAAGTTTCGAAAAAAGAACTCTACTGACAAGCAAAATTTATCAAAAAAGATATTTTGAAAAAAGGACTCTACTGACGAGGAAAAATCTTAAAAGAAAATTGTAAGAATCACTTCATTGACGAGCAAAAATTATTAAAAATAATATCTCGAGAAAAGGACTCTACTGACGAGGAAAAATTGGCGAAAAAATAGGAAATAGATTCTACTGACGAGTAAAAATTATCGAAGAAAATATGCTTTAAAAAGGGATTCTACTGACGAGCAAAATTCATAAAAAAATGTTTGGGTAAAGGGACTCTACTGACAAGCAAACTAAAATCTTATATATTATATATCAAAAGGGACTCTCAAAATAGTACTCAAAAAATAGAACAATAACAAAAAAGGGACTCTACTAACAAGTGAACTAAATTTCTATATATCAAAAAAATAACACAGTAATAAAAAGTATCAAAAGCTACATCAAATCACAGTATCAAAAAATAATGCAGTAATAAAAAGGGACTCTACTGACAAGCAAAAATTATGACAAGAAATTATTTTGAGGAAAGGACTCAAATGACGAGTAAAGTCATAACATTTTTTGAACAAAAATGTCTCTACTGGCTAGCAAAAATTATCAAAAAATAAAATATTTGGATGAAGGGACTCTACTGACAAGAAAACTAAAATTTCATATATCATAAAAATATTGAAATAACAAAAAAGGGACTCTGCTGACGAGCAAACTGAAAATAAAAGATATAAGGCCTCTACTTGAATTTTTGCCTTTTTCTTCTTTCAAAAAATTGTTTATTTATTTTATCTTTTTTTCTAAATTAGGCACTCAATAAAAATCAAATTTTACAATCTTGAAAAATCATTTTTGAAAGTGAATCGAGATAAAATATTTACATTTGTGCGTAGGTGAAATATTACGAATAAAGGATAAAATTATGAATTTCGTGGTGAGGTTTATCTTTATGTCTATGAATCATTCGTAATCTTATTATTAAATAAAATCTTCATCCTAGTTTATTACTACTAGTGTAAAATTGTGAGTAAAAAATAAGCAATATATATATATATATATATATATATATATATATATTACAATCGCCCTTATTTCTTGTCCCTCGTATAATACTTATTAGAACAACTTTGCTTAACAGCGCGCGAATTCTCGAATTCTTTCGCATTTTTATCTTGTTTTTTTTTTCCTTTTTATCTCCTCGAAAAGGAATGCTTTATTTTATATAATTACTCGTTTTATTGAACTCGGTTTCCTTTGTTCCCTATTTCAAAACAAAAGTATAAGTTTTAATTTGAACAATGGTTGTCATAAATTCAGACTCGGCGCAATTATTTTTATGGGCCGCAATCTTTTTAATTATATAATCTTGGGAGATTGATTTTTTAGAGAAGACGTAGTAATATATATATATATATATATATATATATATATATATCAAATCAAGATTTTCTTGTGATTTTCACGAATTTCAAATGAAAATCTTCGCTAATAACATAATCGTCTTACATCCAAAAGAGAAAAGTAGCAATCAGGTAATGGAACAGAGTTAAAATAAATACTGGTACCTTTCTAAATGAAAAGACAGAAACTTCGACTTAGAGATTATCTCTAATAAGGGATTGTAAATTGAATTATAAACACCCTTAAGAATCACTTAAGTATAATAAACTTTGTATCAAACAATATGGGAATAAATCTCATCTTTCCCACATTTTGTCGAAAATGATTATAGTATTTTCCCATAATCATTATCGTTAAATATTCTCATTAATGAGAAAGCAATTTTGTAAAATTTTACGACATCGTAAAAATTTACAGCGGCGTTTGTTTATGTTATATATTACTTCCAAAACATTAACATTGACGTAAAATTAATTTTTAGCTAATTTACATAAGGTGATAGAATATGTATATTATTTATGGCATTACTTTACTTCAAACATTAAAATTGACGTCGAATTAAATTTTAGCTAATTTACACAAGGTGATACAAGGATAAAATAAATATATTAGTTATGGCATTGTGCCTTAAGAAAAATTGCTGGAACTTCCCGTAGCATAATGAAATATTTGAGGAATAGATAAATGTTTTCAAATAAATTATTATAAATACTGAAACTTAAATATGTCTACAGAAAAGTAAATAAACAAAACTTAATAAAGCAGAGATAGAATTAAGGACCTTATCTTATATTTCTGAGAATATAATTATAATTATATAAACTGAATACCAAAGTTAATATTATTTATTTGAAGTATATAAGTTAGCTTGAGAACTTTAGCTAATATTAGAATTAAAATCCGAATTATTTTTGGTATTAACTTTAAAATTCTGGAAATTAAACAAAAATTCTTTCGCCTAAAATAATCGTTTCGTCAATACAAGCAAAAAGTTCTTTAAATCGTTCAAATCGGACGCTCAGTTCTTCCAAAAACTGCAATTTTCTACACAATTATCTTCGTATCATCAAAACGACCGGGCCTGCCTTTGCCAAAACCACTTCTTCCTAACATTACAAAACGAATGTTTTTTAAATCATTCAAATCGCATGCTCCATTCTCTCAAAAATTTGATTTCTATTTTCCGCACTCTTTGCTCCGTATCTCCAAAACGGCTGGGCCTGCCTTTACCAAAAACTAATCAGCACATCTCCCTATCAGTAGAAATCGAACGTTTTTTGAATCATTCAAATCGGATGATCCAGGCACCAGAAAACGTGGACGAAAAATTGTATTCATGCATACACTCATTCACACATTTATTTTTTTGAGGTATGCCAAAATGTTCAGAAACCTCTAGAACGTGAAGAAATGCAAAAATTTTCAATTTGGATTTTTTGACGATTATAATAACTTACCCTACGGGAAGTTAAAAAATTGTATCCATACATACCCACACATACACATACACACACATTTTTTTAAGTTAATAAAAATCAATCCAAAAAAAAAACGCTTTTACATAAAAATATATTTTATTTAAATTAGTGCATTAACCGGGTGTATCTAGTATTTTGCCTTAAGGTAAGTTGCATAAAAATCGAGAAAATATGAAATTAGCAAACCGGATTTTCTAACAAAAACAAAAACTTCTACATCAAAAATTTTACTAGAATGTTAACCATGATTTAAATAAAATAGATTAAAAAAAAAACAATATAAATTTACAACTACTGATTATTTTTCAAGTTTCTTTTTTTATTTGAAGATACAATCCTTTTGGTTAATAATGAAAAGTAATTTTATTGAAATAGTTGCTTCGGCTGGCCATTGAAAAAAAAAATTAAAAAAATATATGGCGGATCCTATTTATATAATTCTGACAAAAACTCAAACTACTTCAGGAAGTCTACAAATTTTCTGTAGCCAAGAAAAACGGAATTTGACCAGGTTTTGACACATTTTATAGTCGTTTAATTTTCTTATCAATTTCTTCAGAGTTCCTTTCAATTTTAGCTCTCATCTAGAAACTATAACTATAACTTGCAGTATAAATAATATGCAAAAAGATGCATTATGCAACAGTCTAAAGTCTCCGCCTTAGTTCGGTACATAGGCAAGAATTTACATATTTATTTTTAGGTAAACTCCTAGTTAGTATGCAAGAGATTATAATACGATGTACGGAGCGAAAACTCTTTAGAAATACATTTCCAAGAAAATATAACAAAGATAAAATTTAAAACATAAATTTACAAATATATTTTAATTATTCTTACCTATGATGTCATACCACACAGATCCCTGATCTCGTCCAGCAGTTTCAATAAGGGCCACCAGAAATCTGGGGTTATCATTTTCAGTGACGTCCGCAGTTTGATCAGGAGGGGCAACCAGTGGGGGTCCTTGTTGGGTTTCATCAGAAAGACTATCGGCAGGTTCTACTACCCTTACTGAATAAAAAGCAGTGTCGGAACGTTGGGGGAGACCGTTGTCTGTCGCCTTAATCTGGAAAAAAGGTAAATAATAAAAGATCGAATTCAAAGTCATTTTATTAAAACAAATTATATCGGGGTGTGTATAACTGTTGGCATGGAATCATAGTAAATTTTATCTAGTTTTTTTTTTGTCTAACTGAAAAGGGGTGCTTTCATATGATATTTGTGAGTTATTTGACAAAAACCAAAAATGGTCCATCCATCTATTTACCGAAATATCGAATTCCTGGCTGGGTTCAAAAATCCTCTGGGCGTACACGACTCCTGTATCAGGATGTATCCTGAATTTAGCCTTTCCTCGTCCTGATTTAATACTGTAAGTAATCCTGCCATTGTCTCCTGAATCACGATCAACTGCCAAAACCTACAAATGTAACAAAAAATTGGTTAAAAAAAATTTTGGAAAAAGTTGACAAATGCACGTGCTGACTAACATAGAGAAAATGCAACTATTTATAATAATATAAATATTGATGCTAAATCAGATTTTTTCATACGTTGATGGAACATGCTTTATTTTAATGATTGTGACGTCACAAATCAAATTGTAATTGGTAAAAATTGTTTTACGAAATTTCAAGATTTTTTTTTTAAATTGTCTTCGTCTTGGTCGTAAGAAAAACTGCATCTGATGCTTGTTTAGTAAAAAATGAACTTTATGCAAAATTGTCTAGGTGCAGCCTATAAAAATTTATTCAACAAGAATATTTGCTTTTGGAAGTGAATAAATGTTGTATTAAAATAATATTTGTTTTTTACAAAAATGAAATTTATGCTATTATTTCTACTACTAACTATTACTTTTCAATGCCATTTTTCTAGACATAAACCAAATATGCAAAATTACATGCAAAGTCTATCTATTATCCAGTCTAAGAAAATTTATTCTTTAAGAAATTTTGCTTTTAGAATTTCATTAATTTAGCACTAATGAAGAATTATTTTTTTATTACAAAAATGAAATTTATACAATTATTTCCACTACTATCTGTCAGTTTTCAATGCCAAATATTTTTTTCCTCGTAAAACTAGCAATTCGCCCATAAAATCGGAATAGCGATTTCCAAACGATTCCAAAAGGAACAATTGATCGTTTTATGTTCCTAAATGGAGACATTCCATTCAATAACGTTTAGATGAGATTAAATATCCAAACTGACACTAAATGCCAATGAAAGAAAAGAAAATAAAAAGGCATATGAAAGATTTTTAAAAGTCATTTATATATTTGAAAAAAAAATGCTGCAAAATGTAAAAATAAAATAAACTTATATTGTTACCAAAATTCAAAATTTTTGATACTCCAAATGTATGTTAAAATATTATATAATACAAATGTGAATTATGAATATATTATTTATTCCGTAGAAACCAGAAAAATATATGTTTTTAAATCAGAAAGACCAAAATAAAGTTTTGAGTACTTTATAAAATATTAGTACATAAACAGTAAATAAAATTTATTAAATTAAAAAAATTTAGAGTTTTTCAAAATATGTAATGTTATTTTGGAATATTTTACACCAAAAGATTTTTATATAATTATTTAGAAAATTTTATATGGATTACAAACATATAATATAAAATAAATTTTTCTAATGCAAATCAAGAAAAAGATATTTATAAATATAAAAAATCAACTACAGGGTCCTTTTTTCTCTAAAAAAGCGAGAATTGCAAAAGACATAGAAATTCTATTTAAAAATATATAAAATAAATTAATTAGATACAAATCAAGAAAAAAAAATGTTTATAAATCTAAAAATTAAAAATAAATCAAATAAAATTTTGACTCTATTTTTAACCATATAATAGAAAAAAGGCTTGTGAAAATACTTCTAGGAAAAAAAGATTTTTTTTTTGCATTTTTGATATCTAATACACGAATGTGAGTTATATAATTATTTAGAGAATTGTATATAGACTCATATTATATAAATTAAAATTTTCTACCCCTACATAAAATTTATATTTAAATCAAAATCAATCTAAAATTCACAAGAGATTCAAGAAAAAAAATACATACAGAGTAATGCAAACTCTTAAAATGTTTTTGCTGTTTTTATAATATGTTATATCAAGAATTTTGTTTGAATTTTTTGGATAAATGTTATTTAAATATTTGTATAAAAAATTAATATAGATCACGCACAAATAAAATTTTCTATCGCTATTAAAAACCAAAAATAAATTTATAAATAAAAAAAATAAAAACAAAATTTTTTGTTTGTGCTATTGGAAAGGACTTAAAACTGCAAAAGAAAATAAATTTGCCAAATTCTCTAATATGGAAACAAAATTAATATGAAATATTTTATAGTAAAATACTAAAATAATTAAATAAAATTTAATAAATTTTAAACAAAAAAGTATACACATACGTAAATATGAATTTTATGCAACTGGCATACATTTTGTATTGATATATTATTCCATCCATCAAATTAAAAAATATATATATTTATTATATATTACCATTAAATTATATCTAAAAATAACGATAGTTTAAAACATAAGTTTCAAACATAATTCTCCATGATCTTTTGGCATCGTGTCAAATCGATTTCGAGAACACATTTCGGAGAAAAGATGGAAATTTAATACCAAAACTTAGATATTTAGATATATATCACCAACACATCATTGTCATAGCTATGTATATATTAATTAATTATTATTAATCAATAATTTACCTATAGGTTTGATTAGAATCGTATTTGGCACCGATGCCCCAAACTATATCATCAATTTGCAAATAACATAATATTGAATCGTATTATATCTGTATTAATTCATGTTCGAATAAACATGGATAGGATTGGACTAACATAGATTAAGTAAAGTCCAGGAAGACCAGAGGATTATGTAATCTTCCGATATTTGTTTAACTAGAAAATTATATACTGATCTCAGAAATCGATACTGAAATGATTTACCAACTTTGGGTTGTTGACATAGTTAATTTTTTACTATCCTCTCGTGTTTTTAATAAACCAAGAAACTTTTTGATAGCCCTAGTCGTAAAATATCGGTGCATGTATTAAATAATAATATTCTCCGGAAACTTAGTAAGTGAATCACTAAGTCTTAGACGTGCGCCATGTGTTTAAAGTTTCTGATACACCAGATGACGCCACTAATAAGCCATCGCTCAAGACATACACGTTTTGGAAATCAGGACCCATTTGCATAATTTTAGCTTGGGTAATAAATTTATACAAGCTAAAATTGTTATATATCAGAGAAACCGAGGAAAGGAAAGTCAACTGGGAGGAAAACTGGTGGTACTTCTTGTATTTGGAGATTGATGGTCAACTTGTCCTTCGAAAAGTTAATAAAAACATTTAATTTACAATCCTTTACAAGCACTCCATTATCCAACATGTTTGTATCGGAGTATATAAATCTGTTTATATAGAATTTTTGTGAATTCCATCTACTTTCTGCTAAGCTAAAGAAAAAAGAGTGCCCAGGACAAAGTTTTCGTGTAATTAAACAAAATGTAGAAAAGTGTCCCTAATATTGCACTGCAAATTGGTACGATATATAATGTTAGGTTGTCAAATATCTCCCTTCCGCCTTTTTGTATTATAAACCAAGAGCAAAAAAGCGGAAGGGAGATATTTGACAACCTAATATTAACGATTTTGTGCGAGTTTTCATCGAAATGTTTGTATCGGAGTATTTAAATCTGTTTATATAGAATGTTAGTGAATTTTATCTACTTTCTGCTAAGCTAAAGAAAAAAGAGTGCCCAGAACAAAATTTTCGTGTAATTTAATTTAATTAGCGCGTTATATAATACTAACGATTTCGTGCGAGTTTTCTTCAAAATGTTTGTATCCGAGTATATAAATCTGTTTATATAAGATGATAGTAAATTTTATCTACTTTCTGCTAAGCGAAAGAAAAAAAGAGCATAGAAAAATATTTTCGCGTAATTTAAAAAAAATGTCCCTAATATTGCACGGCAAATTGACATGATATCAAAGAAACCTAGAAAAGAAATGTTAACTGGGAGGAAAATTGGTGGTGCTTCTTATATCTGGTCAACAATTGGAGATTGGTGGCCAACTTGTCCTTCGAAAAGTTAATAAAAACATTTAATTTACAATCCTCTACAAGCACTCCATTTATTTTTCCACTATTTTTTACCCCGTCGTATTATCTGCAAATCTATTATTGTGCCAGGAAACAGTTTTTCATAGTTTTATTATATAGGTCCTCCTGATGCTCTTTTAACTCTTCTTGTCTCGGCATTTTCCACGGATACAGATTCGAAATTCCATAGGTTGAAAATTGAAAAACGAAGGAAAACTCTTGTATGATGCCGGCGGGAAAATAGTCGGAGAAATGGGAGAAAAAATTAAAAAAAATTCTCCGAAATTTGTGCAATGATAGAGTTCATGGGGATAAAGGACATAGTAAAATATTATAGGTCTAGGAGAAGTGGTTTAGTTATAAAAATGCATCAAATCTTGCGCTTAATGTGACGCTTCAAAAATTTACTATTCCATTTAGTCGAGTCATTGAAGATTTTAAAAACAGTTCCAAATCTTTTCAATTATTTTTTTAAGTAAATTTTAATTAAATAGTTATTATAAGTGTAATTGTTAATGATAGGTTAAAATTTATATTATAAAAATTTCCGGTAAAAAAATCAATTATTATCAAAAAGTCGATTATTTAGAAATTTTTGCAAATTTCCTTGAAGCACAATACCACTTATACCAATTTTTTTAACACTTCAGCATTCAGAAATTGGCTATTTTATGTTACATTTAAAGAGCTCCTCAGGATGTATTGGGAATTCGTTTTAAAATATATATTGCATAACTAAACAGTTGACTTACATTTTTTTTTATTATAATTATAAATGTTCAATGAGATTCTCACAGACGCACCGTTTGTGCTAGAATCTTGCAGTTTGAAATTATCATTTATCAAAGTATTTATTTTGAAAACAAATTATTAAATTGATCATTTATTTTTCAAAATTCAAATTTTTGTAGCGTTTTGATAAAAGTGCGCCCACAGTGCAAATTTTAACTTTATATTCATTTTTATTAGGGTCATTTTTCTACATTTTTTAGATTTATATACTCCGATACAAACATTTGGAAGAAAACTCGCACAAAATCGTTAATATTATATATCGTGCCAATTTGAGGGACATTTTTATAACAGAAAATTATGTTCTGGGCTCTTTTTTTTCTTTAGCTTAGTAGAAAGTAGATAAAATTTATCATCATTCTATATAAACAGATTTAAATAAACCGATACAAACATTTGGAAAAAAACTCGCACAAAATCGTTAATAGTATATATCGCACCAATTTGCTGTGCAATCTTAGGGACATTTTTCTACATTTTTTTTAATTAAGCGAAAATTTTGTTCCTGGCACTCTTTTTTCTTCAGCTTGGCAGAAAGAAGGTAAAATTTACTAACTTTCTGTATAAACAGATTTATATACTCCGATACAAACATTTGGAAGAAAACTCGCACAAAATTGTTAATATTATATATCGTACCAATTTGCTGTGCAATATTAGGGACGTTTTTTTTACATTTTTTCAAATTCCTCGAAAATTTTGTTCTGGGCACTCTTTTTCCTTCAGCTTAGCAGAAAGTAGATACAATTTACAACCATTCTATATAAACAGATTGATATACTCGCATACAAACATTTGGAAAAAAATTCGCACAAAATCGTTAATATTATATATCGTACCAATTTGCTGTGCAATATTAGGACATTTTTCTATTTTTTTTTCTTAAATTCCGCAAAAATTTTGTTCTAGGCACTCTTCTTTCTTTAGCTTAGCAGAAAGTAGATATAATTTACTGTCATTCTACATAAACAGATTTATATACTCCGATACAAACATTTAGAAGAAAAATCGCACAAAATCGTACCAATTTTTAGGGACATTTTTCTGCACAAAATCGTTGATAATATATATCGTACCAATTTCAGTGACATCTTTCAACATTTTTTTTAAATTACGCGAAAATTTTGTTTAGGGCACTCTTTTTTCTTTAGCTTAGTAGAAAGTAGATATAATTTACTATTATTCTATATAAACAGATTTATATACTACGATACAAACATTTGGAAGAAAACTCTCACAAAATCGTACCAATTTGCTATGCAATATTAGGATTATTTTTCCACATTTTTTCAAATTACGCGAAAATTTTGTTTTCAGCACTATTTTTTTTTAGCTTCGTTAGTAGAAAGTAGATACAATTTATAGTCCAATTTTTAAATTGATATTACTAGCAAATTGATTAAAATGTATTTAAAAAACGTGGATATTGCTTATAAACCAAAGCATAAATTGGGTCCAAAACTTGCGTTAAAAACGACAATTCATGATTTTCGAATGTGAGTAATATGTCACCCAGCTTGCTGGCTAAATCCTATGATGACATATGTTTTTTGCTTTTGTTTCAACGACCATAAAATGCTTTATAGCAGATATTCCAGATAGCTGATGCTCTCGGCAAAAAGTTTTTGCTGGAAACAGACCGCGCTTTTGTCCACTAACTCTCTCCTCGTATAAATAAAAATATTTATATATATATATATATATATATATATATATGCGTTGTTTTATTTATAATTTTTTATAAAATCAATAGTTTCTTTTATCTTCCAATTACGTAACTTCTATGTCTATTTTACAAAGTCTCGTCAATTATAACTGGCGTTGGGAATATTCTCCTTTTGTTTCAATTTAATTTCCATCGGTAACCAGTTACCATTTACCTGTTTCCAGTTACCAGTTGTTAGTTTGTTAGATGAATGATAGTCACGTAGGTAATATAATATAATAATATTCAACAACAGACACCACGGGTATAAATTCGCATAATATCAATTAAAACTGTGAGAATTGCGCTTATTAGTAACTTCTGGGAAATAGATGGAAATTGTTACTGTTACTGACTTAGTTTTATTTTAGCAGACCACTCTATAAAAACAGCTTAATATAATTCCCTCTCAAAGTATATTTTTAATTTTATTTCCAATCTCTAATTAAGCATTTAACTAATTAGCGTCCACTAATAACTCTTATTACCGACACAATATTTCTCTTCTCGAAAATCTCTCCAGAGAATATTCGCGTTTAATTAAAAATCTAAACAAAGTCATTTTTGCGAATCGCTCGTAGTCAAAGTATGCTTTTCTTCTTTTTAGTCATTAATTAAAAATGTCATCCTTTAATTTTATTATGTACCTTTTTCATATCTTGAGCAAACACTTCTCAGTAAAGAAAGATCGTAATCATTTTACGGATAAAAAGTTTCGAGCTTGTTGTTGTTCGAGTTGTTTTTGCTTTGAGAAAGGAATACTTTAATATAATATAAGGATACTTTAGTATTAGGAAAATATTGTATATATATATATATATATATATATATATATACACCTAAACTACCGAGTTGATTTTTAATTTAATTTGTTCATATTGTTAATAATTCAAATTAATAAGTCATGAAACAAAAGTAAAACATAATACAAATGGGTCAAAAACAAGACATTTCTAGATAATTTGTACTAGTTTTTTTTTTATAATTATATTTGGATCCAACCTGGTATAAAAGATTGTTAAAGTTTAAAAATAAAAATCTTGAAAATATAGAACTTCAATTCGAACTTTCGTTGCATTTTCATGAAAAAGTTTTACTTTCGGATGAGGAAAAAAATTTCCTTAACATAATTATTTAAATTCTATAATAATCAAGAAATCAAAATAGAACACTCTTAATTCAGTTTCAGATGTCAAAACCTTTGCTTTCTGTTATCAGATTTTTAATTTGTTTAAATTTATTTTTAAATTTTATTCTGGAATAAGAGGTAGTGTTTAATTTTTTTAGAACATACCCCCGCATTTGAAAAAACAAATGTATTATTTTTTTATAGTACTATTAATATGTTAATTTCAATTTTTTTGATTTATATGAGCAAAAATCTTTGTATTTTTTCAAGATTTTTAAATATTTTTCCTGGGTAAATATATAATATATAAATAACTCCATAAATAAACTAGTTTACAATTACATTTGGATCCAGCTTGATCTTGAAGATTGTTAAAATTTAAAAATAAAAATTTTGAAAATATAAAACTTTAATTTGGGCTTTCGTATATATTTCAGATACCATACATAATATTTTTTTCAGTTTATAGTTTAAACTAAAAATGATGTAAAGTTCGACAGATAGTGAAAAATATGATGAAAAATCCAAAATGCATTATCTAAAAGTAACAGATATATAAAATGATATCTCTGATATATTTTAGTAATGAAATTAAATTTATCATGCTTTATATGAAAAAAAATCCATAATTTTCATTCATACACAAGCACTAAAATTTTGATTTACTATTTAAAATTAAAACAAATATTTCTAAACTTTTTATGACAGAAATCTAAAGAAATCACGATTCCCTTATAAATCTAACATGATAATATATTAATTTATAAAAATTCAGGCAAAAATTGGACAGTTTCTATTGTTCTTCATTCAATATTTATATCCAAAATAAAATGTAAAAAAGCAGGCAATTTAATCAGTCAACATTTTTATCAAAAAATAATAGTTCTGAAAAATTCAGGCAAATTCTAAAGTATTTCAATCAACATCTATTTCATAATTTTTTTTATTTAGGCAAAAATTAAGCAAGTTCTATTATTTACCATTAAACATTGCTATTATAATTTAATTTCTATAAATTCAAGCAAAAATATGATGAATTTTAACAATTCCCATTCAACATTCTAATTCTAAAATTTCATTCAACATTTATGTCATAAGAAAATTTTCATAAATTCAGGCAATAATTGGAAGAATTCTCAAATTTTTCATTCAACATTATTTCATAAGAAAAATTTCTATAAATTCAGGCAAAAATTGAGTAAATTATATCGTTACATTCATTTTATAAAATAACTTCTATAAATTCAGGCAAAATTAAAAATACTAGATCATTTTTCTTTCAACATTTCTACGAGAAAATAATTTCTATAAATAAATTCAAGCAAGTACCATCATTTTACATTTATCATTCGCGTCATAAAATAATTTTTATAAAAGATTCAGGCAAAAATTGGACAAGTTCTAACGATTTTCATTCAACATTTATTTCGTAAGATCATTTCTGGAAATTCAGGCAAAAATTGCACAAGTTCTAATAATTTTCATTCAACATTTATCTCGTAGGGTCATTTCTAGAAATTTAGGCAAAATTTGAGCAAGTTTTTAAATTATATAAATTCAGGCTCATTCAGGCAAGTTTTATCATCTCTCGTTCAACATTTATTTCGAAACAAAATATTTATAAGTTCAGGCAAATGTAAGAACATTCATATCATAATTTTTTTTCTAACAATTCAAGCATTTTTTAGAAATAGTTCTTTTATCAAATCAGGCTCTATTTTTAACATTCGACATTTTGAAAAAAAAATTACCCTGAAAACAGGGTGTCCTATTAAATCGCTCGGTTTGTACTGAATCCAGTCCTGATCCAAATCTAAAGGTTCAATTTTTTGAACAATTGGTAACTCGGAACCTTTTTCGGAATCGGAACTGCGATCTCTCTAATAAAAATATAAAAAATAGTTGAATAAAATTTCAAGAATCAAAGTTAAATAGGTAAGTTGTTTTGTAAGTAATTCTGTTACTCAAAATTATTATTCCTCTAGCTCTCTGTCTATTTTTGGATGGATTTCCTCGTTGCGAATAATTATAATGTGTTTTGCGAGCAAAACGCTTTGTGCGTATACGAGTACATTAAATTTTGCACGTTTCGACAAAACCGCATGTTATATCAAAGGAATATGTACTAACTTTTGATTTGTCATATAATTAGCTACATGTACAAACATGCTGTACACTTCTGTAAATTTAATGGAATAAAAATTAACTTAAATAACAAATTTTCGACTCCTAAAACGGCAACTTGATAAAAAACAATTGTGACTTTCAGGTACATTTTTGTAAAATTTTGTTGAACCAAAATTAAAAAAAAAATATTTTTATATATTAAGGGTTTGCTAAATATTTATATATTTATATATATATATATATATATATATATATATATTAATAAATATTTTATTTTTTTACCTGAAATAGTGGCTGGTCAATTTTTGCAGTAGCAGGAATTCTCACAGTATAACTCCTTTGTTTAAATTCCGGAGAATGATCATTTACATCCAAAATTTCAACAATGACTTTAGTCACTGATGACAAAGATGGGACGCCACTGTCTGAGACAACGACCTGAAAAAAATTAAAAAAAAAATGAATTAATTATAAAATAAAATAGCCAAAACAGCAAGGTTTTTCTGAGGCCACAAACCAGAAAAAGCTTATAGGTTTTATTTAAAATGAAATAAATATTGTTTTTGGAAGAATAGTAAGTTTTATTTCAGAACAAATTTTTGCCTTTTTGGATATGTATATATATAAAATCGAATTCAAAACAGGAAAAACTGCATAACTCAATCCTTTACAAACACTTTACGACTTCGTATTTTTTCTTTGGATCAACTAACTCTACATATTTATATTTTCCTCGGTTTTTTCTTTCAAGGAAATGTTAAATAAAAACACGGTTTTTTAAGAGAAACTAGGAACGAAGGTAATAGTCAAGGAAAAACAACTTTGGAAACTATATTTCAGAAAAAAAAAATTGATATGGCATTTAGTTGGTGTAATTTTATGGTGCCTCAACTTATGTATGCATTTGTTTGGTGAATTTTGGATAACTTTTGAATCGTTTATTTTAGATACAGTAGATATTCAGCAAATTTATGCAAAAGTAGATAACAAACAAGTTTTTCTAACACCATAAAGTCCTACAACACATACTTTATCCCTTATATATCATTTTCCATCATTTCATATCATTCACCCCAGTTTCCCCTATCCTGTGTGTGAAGTTTTGTATAATATTCCTCGGAACAAAAGTGAGATACGACGACATCAAAGAGCAAAATGCAAAACAAGGGAAACACAAACACTTTTGAGAATTTCTTGGATAGAATCGATATCCTGCAAGAACTCTGAAAGGACGATATTTGATAAAAAAAATAGAACGACCTGGAGAAAATTGAGACCTAGCACAACAATATTGTTGAAAGGAGAAAATTTATGTGTATATATATATATTGTATATATATATATATATATATATATATAAAGAATATTTTTTAAAACGAAACTTATTGGCCTAAAAACGCGACACCAAAGTTCTCATTTGCGCCTGTTTGTATTCCGAGTGACTCTGATTATATAATTTGTTACTTTCAAACTATTTGTCTAAATTGCATACAATATTTAAAAATTTTTTAGTAAATTGAAATATCTATAATATTTTCTAACATCATAAAACCATAGGTTAACTTGGTATACTTTAAAATCGTAACTGAAAATATAAAAATAATGACCAAAGCTCTCTTTGGAGCTTATTTGGATCGTGAGTGATTTTTTTACAATTTTAACTGTAACTTTTAAACCGTTTTTCTAAATTTCATACAATATTTGGTAAATTTGTAGTAAATTAAAATATATAATTTTTTAACATCATAAAGTCCTATGCTAATTCGGTTTACTTTAAAATCACATTTGAAAGCAAAAAATTAATGACCAAAGCCCTCATTGGGTTGATTGAGTTTTTTTTTTATTTTCTTTATTTTACTTATGCAAATTAATTCATTTGTAAATTTTAGAAATATTAGTTTTGTATATTATTTAAAATAATACAAACATAATGCCTAAACATTTTTTTTTTAAATTTTAATATTTTTGACAAAAGTTTTTTCATATTTAGGTTCTTTATTGTACAATTCTATTTTTTTATCAGATTATTTGAATAAAAGTTACAAATATTATACAAAGTAAACTAATAATATGTTATAATAAATAATATCAATATATATATATATATATATATATATAATTAATTTAGTTGTTAAATTTTATTAATGACATAAAACTTAAAAAAAAAATAATATGAGAAAAACATTCTTAATTTTAATAAATAATAATAAAGAATAATTTATGAATTTAAATCCAAAATTAATTGTAAAATCAATACATAGAGATTTTTTTAAATGCTAAATGCATTTCATTTTATAATTTTGTAAAATGCTGACAGAATTAAAGAGAATTTTTTAAATTTTTGCAAAAATATGACACAAACTACTAGAAAAAAATAATAAATATATGGAAACAATTTAGACAGAAACCAAAAATATGCATTTATTTATATTTTATCATATTGATAGAATAAATATGTAAAAATTCCCAAGTTTTTTTCTCAAATAGGTACTTAAAATAAAATGATTTTTGGCTAATTTTTTTGCACCGATTGCGTGCAACCAGGAACCTCAAATTTCAGTATAACATGCTTTAATGCATATAGAAACAATAAACACTAAAGTTTTTTTTATAAAAATATTTTTAAGTGTTGTTTTATAAAATATTACACTGCAATGCACGCCTACAAATCCAACAACGAGACACCTTGACGCACCATATATCGCGTAGAACTTTTTTCCGCAATTTTGCAATAAAAACTCCGAGTTAAATTTAACGCAAAAATTTAATATATCGTAGATACGAAATGAAATAAAAATTTTTGTACTCTAGTTTTATTTCCGACATTTACTCCTGCATCCATTAAATCGTTAACGAATACAAGTATCGTCATCTCGATATCGTCGACATCGTTTTCTGTTTAAAAACCTATCAAAGACCATTATGTTCGTCCATTATTTTCAATAATAGATGCATTAGCCGGGAAATTATGCATGGAAAAGCCATCGAACACTCGATTTACATACTAGAGATGCTTTTCGATATTAGGTATAGTTACAGATCGATTTTCGATCCAATCGACTATAATAGAAACTTTTGATGGAAGAATTTTAGAGACCTAGTAGTAGTACTGTTTATAATAATTAAACAAATCAATTACTCCCTCACATTTATCCTGGTGAGTCCTTTATCATATAGTGCTTTGTGGATTGTATCGTGTTTACATGACGACTATTGCAATGGTCTTGTTTTGCGTGTAAACAAGCCACCAAGCTATAGTAAAGCTATAGCTGGACTAAAATAGAGCTAAAACTATAGTACTTGCCTGGAACGACCGAACGACGTGTATAATTAAATGTGAAGTGGAATTATATGCACCGGATAAATATTAAATTGGGAGCAATAGAGGAATGGATTTTGGTAAGGGATAAAGGACTATGTTGGTATTTGAAATTTGCAATCATAAGATTATATATTTGTTTGGGAATTCTGTTTAATAAAGTGTTGGTCAAGCGAGGATGAACTGGGAGTCAGAACCCAAAACATGTATTTAAGGCATATTATCAAAGTACTAAAATCCGCGTTTCAACTACGAATTGCTTAAAAGTTATTTGAAGAAATGTTAAAAAGTGTCCTACTGGCAATCCTAAAGTCCACGTTTCAACTCAAATTATTCAAAATTTCAATATGCAAGTGTATATAACTGTTTATACTAGATTTTAGTAAATTTTATCTGGTTTTCACTCACTAGATATATTAAAACAGTTTCTACATAGGAAGGGCCGGATTTAGAAATTTGGCGCCCCGGAGCACTGACAAAAATGCCGCCCCATCCCTGAAATTTTATGAACTTTCGAACTTTTTTTAAAGCAATCGCGCTGCTTCAGCTGCAAGGGACAAAATATAGAAGCGCGTAAGCGCCGCGTCGCAGTCTAACTGATAAACAATGTTACAGAACTTATATAAATGTAAACAAAATTTATACTTGTTGTTATAATATCTTTAAAATATTTTAATTAATTAATATGTTAAAATAATTTAATGTGCCTATGTCCTATGATCACTTTTGTCCGCCAAATGTTTCTTTTTCAATTTTTTTGTTGGATCATCGAAACCGCTAATCCTGCCCCCCACAAATTTAAGCAGTTATTTATTCTGTAAATTTTTTTGAATGTTATTGAACGCTTTTTTCTCAAAAACTAAATTATCATTTTTGGCATTTTGGCCCGTATCTTCAAAACAGTTGGACCTGCCTTGACCAATTATTAATCAGCACGTCTCCTTATCAATAGGAATTGAATCATAAATCGGTTGATCCGTGTTCTCGAAATCGACTTGAATAATTAAAAAATATTAGATTTGTATTGATGAGAAGACGTGCTGATTAGCTTTTGGTACAGGCAATTACAAAAAATGGTAATTGAGTTTCGATATTTCTTCTCTGAAACAGCTACGCAGCGCGATTGCTTTGCAAAAAGTTCATAATTTTCGAAAAATTTCAAAATACAAAAAATGTGTTTTAGAAGTGTTTTTTTTTCATTTTTTAATGAAATTTAAAGCTCTTTATAAAATGTAATTTTCAGTACGGGATGTTTCAGTAATTTGTCTTAAGGCACAGTGCCATGAGTCACTAGTTTAAATTTTTTTTCGACGCTATAAGCTCGGAAGTGCACAAATACGTATATTTTAAGAGGGCTCGAGAACTGAAGAACATATTTTTTTAAAATTTTCAGCTTGTTTACGGATCTTATATTAGCCAAATTGCCAAATTTGATAACTTATTAACGAATTTGATAATTTACGTTCGGAGAGGGAAGCAAGGCAAAATAATGAGTTTTAGTTAACGTTTATTTCAACCCAAATTTTGCATTGCAATCGTATTATGTTTTGTTAATTAGATTTCTTGAAATAAAAAATGTTGTTAAAAAGTTGATTATATTATATAGAATTTTTCTAAATATCTAAATTTTGCCGCCCCCCAAAATTTGCCGCCCTGGGCAGTAGCCCCGATTGCCCCTACTGTAAATCCAGCACTGTACATAGGATTTAGTACTACAATAGTTGCAAAAACGTGCAAAATTCCAAAACTTGTCCATTGCATTTCTCTGCGATCTTTTCCCTCGAATTCCTCTCAATTTGCATTCACCTTTACGCCTTGTTAATCCTTAAAAAGATGCGTTCCTCCAACAACATTTAAAGTTGACTTTAAAGGAGTTTCTGCTCCTGTTGCATTCTAATTCTCCAGCTACATGAATAATGATCGTGCCATAAGTTCTCAATGTAATAAAACTATAGTTTGTGACTACGAAACTATACGTAGCTAAAATTTAATGTAATGTATGGTGTACAGAAACAAACAGTTTCAGAGTTCACTATTTGCGATAACTATTGTTTGAAACAAACATTCCGAATGTTTTGCACTCTAGAGGGACATCGTCGTTGATGTCAACGTTGGGAAAGTTTTGGACTTCAAAATAAATAATATTGGAGAGAAAAATGTAGATGATTGATATATATATATATATATATATATATATATCTCGTGTCACGATGTTGGTTCGCGATGGACGCCTAAACTACTGGACCGATTTTAAATTTTATTGGCTCATCGTGTGCATATATATCCAACTTAGATTATAGGAAATTTTGAAAAGTAAATTTAAAATATAAATACATAATTTTTATAAATTTCAAAAAATTTTGACAGAAAATGACCAAAAAAAAAATAAAACACTAAAATGACAAATGTCAAAATATATGGAAAAGTCGAGAAAAAAAGATAAATGATTTTTGAAAAAAATATTTGACAGTTCAAAAAATAAAATTCAAAAACATGTACATATATAGAAATATCCAACATTTAAATCCAAATTTGATGAAATGCTATATTCAAAATCACTGTTTATAGTTTTAAATCTAATTAAAAAACAACGCTAAAAAAATTTAAATAAATGTTGACATGTAAAAAAATCAAATGTCATTTGTCAATATTTATGAAAATAAAATAGATTTACGATTTAGATTTAATTGATTAGCTTACCAAATTATTTTGGAAACCAAAACTTCATCAAAACATTATAGATCAGAGATCACAATAAAAAAGCGGCATATCGAATTTAAAATTAATCATAAACAAAATTTTGACATTTTACAAAAAAAATGTTTAACGACTTACTTCGATAAGAAGCAAATAAATTAATTATTCCGAGTTATGTTATAGGCAATATTGCCAAGCAAATTATAGATACAAAACATTATTGTAAAATAAATATTATCATATTATATTAATTTTGGACCAAGAAGGAAATATTTTGACATTTATAAATTTAATGCATATTGGATATATGAAATTGACATTCACTATTTTCAATTAAATGCAAATGTGAAAAATCAAATATTTATATAAAAATTGTATATTTAGATAAAGATACTGCGTTGATTTAGACTAAAATTTAATTTATTCTTTAATTAAAAAAAAATGACATAAACAAAATTAAAATAAACAAAACACTATGATGCGTTGGAATTATTTATCGGAGTGTAAAGAAATTTGTGTAATTAAATATAATATTATTATTAATATATCAGTTAAGATATATTTTGATTGTCATCGCAATCGTAACCTCTTAAATGAAATAGTACAATCTGAGGGTATCACTGGAATCTGACAAAAACAAACTAGACAAACTAAATATTATATCATATTATATTAAATTTTGACCAAAAAGAAAATATTTTGACAGTTATAATTAATTTGAAATAAAATGCAAATGTCAAAAATCAGATCTTTATGTAAAAAAATATTTATTTCCACAATATTCCTGTGTTGATTTAGCCAAACTTTTGAATTTAACAATTATATAATTATTCATTGATGACTTAAAATAATTAATAATTTATTAACAAATAAATAATATTTGAAAGAAAATTTTATTGACATATATGACATGACAAAAGTATAATAAACAAAAAAACTATGATGCGAGTGAATTAATTTTTGAAGTATGAAATGTCAAATAATTTTGAAAAATATAGCAAGTTTTTAATTATTTGTCAAAGAATCAGAGTCCAAATCAATATATATTTGTTTTTGGCACATTTATTCAGTTTTTATCAATTTAGGCATATTTTTTATGGCAAAACAACGTTTGCCGGGTTAGCTAGTATATATATATATATATATATATATATATATATATACATCCCCAGTTATTATATGTTTCATTTGAACAATACACCTAGGACCTCATTCCCTTTCCTCCTACCCCAAGCAATTCCCAAGGCAAAAGGACAGGTACAGTTCTGATTGAAAGGCCCTTAACATAGTTGATGAAGGATCCTTCTGCCTTTCTTCCTCAGAAGGTCAAATCCAATTTGTCCTTTTGTGATTTGGAAGGTGCCAAAGCGAATGGTACCGTAAAATAGATCTTTTACTATGTACGGATTGATATTTTATTTAGTTATTGGGGATAGAGTACCTACAACTGCTAGGGAAATAAATTTTGTTGAGATAAATTTGTATTTTTTTGTGTAAATATATTATTTGTGACGTTTTCGAAATGTATGAGTGCGAAAATGTTTTCACTAATTTAGTTTGTGCTGGTTTTTATAATTAGTTTTCCGTCTGGGGAGCTTTAGCAAGCTGTTTTTAGTCATTGGATTATGCAAGAGAGCTTTTTGGGATTTACACGTTTATCAAAAATGATAAATTGACTAACAATTTGGACTCGTATTTATATACACATATATTATTTTTCCAATTTTTCCTTGAAGCGTCAACAAAAAATGAAATGATCAAATCGGATTTTCTGGCAAAAACATAAAATTTTTTATCGAGAAGTTAGTAACAAACGTGATTTTGCAAAACTGCATTTGCAAAAAAAATTATAAAATAGCCTGGCGCTTTTTGCAAACAAAAGGTTTTTGTTACAAAGCAATTGTGTTATGTTTAAATAAAATCCAACTTCAGAAGCTCTGTATTTGAAATTTATTAGCACTAGAAGCCTGAAATTTTAATATGTTATACCTATAAGCTTTCTTTAAATATAAAAAAATTCAATAAATAAAATTTTGCAAAATTATATAAGTTATAATTTTTTTTAACAGACAAGGCAAAAGACACAGGCTGCTTGCGCAAAAAGGTCTCCAGTTCTGAGTAAAATAAAATTGAACTTCAGAGCCACATTTTATTGAATTTATAAGTACTAGAAGTCTGAAATTTAGATATGTTATACTTATAAGCTTTCTTTAAATATAAAAAATTTCAATAAATAAAAATTTGCAAAATAATAGAAGTTATAGATTTTTCACCAGACAACTGGCTGGTTTTGAAAAATAACTCTCCAGTTTCGAGTAAAATGAAATTGAACTTCAGAGCCAATTTTTATGGAATTTATAAGTACTATAAGCCTGCAATTTGGATATGTTATACTTATAAGCTTTCTTTAAATAAAAAATTTTCAGTAAATATAATTTTGCAAAACAATATAAGTTATAATTTTTTTAACAGACAACTACACAGGCTGCTTTCGCAAAAAGCTCTCCAGTTCCGAGTAAAATGAAATTGAACTTCAGAGCCACATTTTATTGAATTATAAGTACTAGAAGTCTGAAATTTAGATATGTTATACTTATAAGCTTTCTTTAAATATAAAAAATAAAATTTGCAAATAAAATTTTGCAAAATAATAGAAGTTATAGATTTTTCACCAGACAACTGGCTGGTTTTGCAAAATAACCTTCCAGTTTCGAGTAAAATGAAATTGAACTTCAGAGCAAAATTTTATGGAATTTATAAGCACTGGACGCCTGCAATTTGTATATGTTATATCTAGAACCTTTTGTTAAATTTTAAAAATTACAACGAATATAATTTCGCTAAATAGCAAGAGTTATATTTTTTATCA